ATCATGACCCCCTGGGGTAGGGTGGGGCCACAATGGGGGATCAAAGTTTTACATAGAAATATATATAGGAAAATATCTTTAAAAATCTTCTTACGAACAGCAAAGTCATGATTGGTCATATTTATATGGAAGCATCCTCAGGTAGTGAAGATTCAAGTTTGTTCAAATCATGACCCCGGGGGTAGGGTGGGGCCACAATGGGGGATCAAAGTTTTACATAGAAATATATAGGGAAATATCTTTAAAAATCTTCTTCTTAAGAACAGCAAAGCCATGATTGGTCATATTTATATGGAAGCATCCTCAGGTAGTGTAGATTCAAGTTTGTTCAAATCATGATCCCTGGGGTTAGGGTGGGGCCAAAATGGGGGATCAAAGTTTTACATAGAAATATATACAGGAAAATATCTTTAAAAATCTTCTTAAGAACAGCAAAGCCATGATTGGTCATATTTATATGGAAGTATCCTCAGGTAGTGCAGATGCAAGTTTGTTCAAATCATGACCCCCTGGGGTAGGGTGGGGCCACAATGGGGGATCAAAGTTTTACATAGAAATATATATAGGAAAATATCTTTAAAAATCTTCTTACGAACAGCAAAGTCATGATTGGTCATATTTATATGGAAGCATCCTCAGGTAGTGAAGATTCAAGTTTGTTCAAATCATGACCCTGGGGGAAGGGTGGGGCCACAATGGGGGATCAAAGTTTTTCAAAGAAATATATCTATAGGAAAATATCTTAAAAAATCTTCTTCTTAAGAACAGCAAAGCCATGATTGGTCATATTTATATGGTAGCATCCTCAGGTAGTGTAGATTCATGTCTGTTCAAATCATGACACCTAGGGGTAGGGTGGGGCCAAAATGGGGGATCAAAGTTTTACATAGAAATATATAGGAAAATATATTTAAAATTCTTCCTCTTAAGAACAGTCAAGCCATAATTGGTCATATTTACATGGAAGCATCCTCAGGTAGTGTAGATTCAAGTTTGTTCAAATCATGACCCCCTCGGGGTAGGGTGGGGCCACAATGGGGGATCAAAGTTTTACATAGAAATATATAGGAAAATATCTTTAAAATTCTTCCTCTTAAGAACAGTAAAGCCATAATTGGTCATATTTACATGGAAGCATCCTCAGGTAGTGTAGATTCAAGTTTGTTCAAATCATGACCCCGGGGGTAGGGTAGGGCCACAAAGGGGGATCAAAGTTTTACAAATGAATATATGGGAAAAAAATCTGCTGCTCAAGAACAGCAAGGCCATTTGTTATATTGATATGAAAGCATCATTAGGTAGTTTAAAATTCATCCCCCCACCCCACCCCATAAACTTTTCAATGCTGAACTGATTTTTGCTTTTTTTCCCTAGCCAATGTGCTCAGGTGAGCGATGTGGCCCATGGGCCTCTTGTTAAATTTTGTTAAAACGCTAATCTGAAGACGGTTTCCTTCGATTTCAATGAAACATGACAAACAGGCACTTGTTTCTGTAATAATTTTTTAACACTTAGTGTAATAATAACACACAGTACTAATAAACTAATAAACAGTTCGCCAGTGCGTTTTCTCTGAAAGCATAAATGATTGCGATTTTGGGGAGGGTTGGGGAACTCCATGTAATTAGTACTTAGATACCTTTGCTTTTATTATACTATGAGTTTAGCATTATTACAGAAAGAAGTGTCTGCGGCTTATATACAGAAAAAAATATGCCACAGAACAGTAAGGCCATTTTACTCACATCCCCATGTGGTGAGGTCATCATGGTTAAGTCATGCATGACCGTTTTAAATTTGTGTGGGATCGCAGAAACAGGTCTTTTTTTCATGGAAATTAAAAAGGATTTTTCAAATCCCGGGAGAGCGCTGTGGCCCCTGGACGTCGTATGTTTGATTGGTGTGGTAGATACATACGTAGTTTCGTCTTGCACTAAACGTATTCATTGACAAGGTAGATGAAATGATAGCTCGTTCGGATACACCAAAGTACACGTAACTGCAAAAACATTCCACTCTGCCCATGAACTTTCCTTATAAAACTGCGTTTATTAAAATCCAACAGAAAAGAAGTTTTTTGCTTGAGGTGTTTCAAATCTCTGTCTGTCTTTTTCTCTCAATAAACCATATTTACCGTTATTGTTTATGACAAAACGTTTTATTTAAATTGTATATACAAAACACACTGTCGCAAGCACCCATCCTATTTTTTTTTTTTTTAATTTTTTGGTGGAAATAGAATGGACACAAAAACTGTGGATTGGGACCATGTACAAAACAGTCAAGCAATTCAAATGTTTGCATTGAAAATTCATGTTTCGTCAAAGGACTGAAGAATAAAATGCAATTCGGGGTATATCAGTTCTCGAAACCATAAAATGAGAACAGAACTTTAAATTTAGATTTTGAATATTTTGCTTTTTTAAACAGTTGCTAGTTTGGATAATATTCAATTAAAATACATGATGGAAATTGTGTTTTAATTTTCAAAATTCAAAAGTTATACTTATTTAAAATTTTGTATTTAGTCTGCTCTCAGTTAGGATGAAAAGGCAATTCTACTCTATCCATCGTGATAGTTTAGTACGAGACATCCACTTGCAAAATACCGAAAAATTTAAGATAAATCCATTATGTATATCTGATACCTTTCTTTTTGAAAAAGCTCAAAACTCCTATCTATAGTGCGGGGGGGGGGGGTTAAAAGGTAACCAAGTTGTATAGGAAATAATCTATCCCAAGATGACATTAAATTGCGATACTTAATTATTTAAGTATTAACAACTAAGGATTAGAAGGATTGAGGCAGGCCCCCCCCCCCTCCTCTTCGCCCATGAAAGCCATTAATTTTGTCCATTTACCTTTTCTTCTTTCAAATAAAAAAAAACATATACATGTGTAAAGGATCTTAACCCGTATTTTAAAATTTCTCACCCTTGGTGAAAGGCAAATTGAAATATAAATGAATACTCTCTGAACAGGTTTAATTTTTTGGCGAAAAAGGACGCACGTTTTTCCAATAAACTAGATCTACATGTATTTGGAAACACATTAGGGACAAGTCAATGGCACTTCTACAGAAATATATATTTGAATAGAAGCATTTCTACCTGTAGACTCAAGATTTACATTTAAACATTTAAACTTCCTCTTTCTAATTTTAGTGTATTGGGGAATTTAGTGGTGTTTCAGTCGACAGGTAACGTGAAGTTCATAAGAGTGACGACTGAATCAGCGAGTTTTAATTTTTTTTACCAGATGATGTAAAATTTGTGCATTTCTCATACCAATACAATGTCCAGTGTTGATGGCAGCTGGCGATTTTGTGAAGGATACTTAGAACACAAAGGAAAACAGGTAATTTTAATTTTTTTAATGTAGGCCTACTGACTTTGAGAAGAAAGTGTTTATCATTGAATGATAAATGGTGAAAATCAGTCCGTGTTGATTTTGATAAATTATATCAGCAGTTTGTACAGCTGATTTAACGCAGTAAACCCTAAAACAGTTCAATCATTTCAAATGCACATAAAATTCGTAGCGTATACAAATGTCAACGCAAAAGACGTTTCCCTTAATATTCATATAAGCGCATAATTAGTTATATGACGAGATTCCAGCTATACTCCTTGTTTAACGCTTATGTAATAACTTATAACTGTTGTGCATGAATGATAGAATCAATGTCTGCAATCTAGTTATCTCTAGATAAGTTTTGTAAAAGAATTTGGTTGGACTTCGTTGCAATCGATTCTTGTACATCTACAGGGAAGGCTATTCTATATAGAAAAAGCAACGAATCCAATCAGCTTAGGGTTCTGTATTCTTATCGAATTTACTGTCTGTAAGACAGATTTTTTTTTATCGAAATTAAAATATGTTGTGATGAATATGGATCAGTTATTACAGTAGTGTGCCTCTGTTAGGCCTCTGATATTAGTTTCGTACCAGAAGGATCTATTATCTAAATTGTACCAAGTCTCATGTAGCCGGGTGGAGTAGAAAACCTGCTAATTTTTCCGCCTGCCTCCACAACTCGCCACCAAGGCGCAGACCCATCTCAGTAGGGTGATAATTATTTTTTGGTGAAATTCACACACGACACCACGATCAAGAGTTAAGGGGTCATTTTATATCAGAAAAATAATGGACTTTAAACTAGATGTCCTACTGCTAATCTTGTGTTTATCCAACCCGAACTAAACGTCGGACATATTGTGTCCACTTCTAGTGAACGTAGTGCTTTGTTATTGAAATGCAAAAAATCTTATTTACCAAATGGGATATACGGATTAATTTTCTGTATATAGTGAAAAGCGTTTGTTCATGAAGGGAAAGAAGCATTACGGTGAATTATTTATCGTGATATGAAATTTGAATGAATAAGATTAAATATATACGATAGAGTATTTTCTTATAGTGCGTTTTTTACCACTACGTTTTTCTGAAATCCAAAGGGTCAGATAACTTCTCGGTCACTCTACATTCCGAGGGTATCAAGAAAGTGTCTTCTTGTTTTCACATAATTGTATCTTGTTGTATGCAAGATCCACTTCAGTGTATTTAAAATAATGAGACAATGAACACTCGTGACTTTAAAGTTTGATAATTATATGTAAAGTTCAGCCATGTCAGAATTTAAATGTAAAATTGAAACAAGAGACCTCTAAACACATTGGCTAGGAAAAAGCAGTTCAGAATTGAAAAATTTAGGGGGAGGGGGGCAAACTTAAATTTAAACTACCTCAGGATGCTTCCAAATCAATATTACTAATCATGGCTTTGCTGTTATTGAGCAGAAGAATTTTAAAGATCCCCCCTATGTATTCCGATGTAAAACTCTGATCGCTCATTGTGGCCCACCCTAAATTTGAACAAATTTGAATCTACATTACCTGAAGATGCTTCTATAAAAATATGACTAATCATGGCTAAAACTGTTCTTGAACAGAAGATTTTTCAAGATGATTCCTATATATTCTTATGTAAAACTTTGACCCTCTGTTGTCAAAAGTTGAACAAACTTGATTCTACAATACCTATGGTTGCTTCTGTATGAATATGACCAATAATGGTTTAAGTTGTATTTGAGAAGAAAATTTTTAAAGATATTTCGTATGTTAGGTGTATGATCAGGTTCTTACAAATCACACAGTACTAAAATTGTTCTCTTATCTAGAGACTGGTACTGGGTAAGATACTCTTTGCACCGTGTTTCTCCCCTAAGTTCCTAGCTTTTGTTAGATAAGAACCGCGTGTCTCGATCTTCTTCGGATTTACTACACCCAGGACTTAACACCAATTCCTTAGGATTCTTTCCAATGGTGCTTTTAACTTTTATTTTGCTCTTAGCCTTTAACTTCTTTCTTGCTGATTCAACTGCCACCCTTTTCAGCTATCTTCTGAATGCCTGATTTTCCCAAAGCTTTGCCTTATGTACCCTTTGGCTGGTCCATTCCAAGGATTGTCAGGTCATTCCATTATTTGAAGTCTTCAATGCGTTTTACGCAAATGCCCTTTGACCATTACACCTAAATATTCCTATGTAAAATTTTGACCCACTGATGTGGCCCGCCAACCCCAAGGGGTCATGATTTGAACAAACTTGAATCTACACTACCTGTGAATACTTTTGTATTAATATGACTAATAATGGCTTAGCTGTTCTTGAGAAGAACATTTATAAAAGATATTTCCTATATATTCCTATGTAAAACTTTGGGCTCCCTGTTGTGTCTGCACCTAACCCCCAGGGGTCATAATTTGAACAAATTTGAATCTACACTACCTTAGGATGCTTCTATATAAATATGTCGAATAATGGCTTAGATATTATTGAGAAGAACGATTTTTATAGATATATATTCGACCCCCACTTGTGGCCCCACCCTACCCCAGGAGGTTATGATATGAACAAACTTGAATTTGGAGTATGTAAGGAAGCTTTCACATAAGTATCATCTTTTCTTGCCCAGTGGTTCTTGAGAAGAAGATTTTTAAAGGATGCCACCAAATTTTCATGAATTCTTAATTATCTCCCCTTGAAAGAGGGTGTGGCACTTCCTGTGAACAAAGTTCAATTCCCTTCACCCAAGGATGCTTTGTGGCAAGTTTGGTTGAAATTGCCATGGCCTAGTGGTTCTGGAGAAGAAGACGAAAATGTGAAAAGTTTACAGACGAAAGACGGACGCTGGACACTCTTTGATCAGAAAAGCTCACTTGAGTCTTCGGCTCAGGTAAGCTAAAAACAATTACGCTCATTTCAGAGCCTTTACCAGGTTTCTGGGAGAGGGTTAGGGAGGGGTATCCCCTATCATAAGCTAGAATTTCGATATTTAGAAATAGGTACCATTTTAATTGGTTTGGTGCATTCTGGGGGTTATTAATTTTTCAGATGTTAATAAACTTAAGAAGTGTTACTTTAAACAGATGAAAAATGTATTTTATTTTGTTTCAAAAATCCTATCTGCGAGTGTGTGCGTGTAATTGCATCCAACTGCCCCCCACCCCCACCCCACCCCAACCCTCTCTCTTCCGACGGTCATGGATTTGAATTTCAGTTTTACAGGGCTGCTTAGCGATCGAGATCTGCAGATATTTTTTCATATGAATCATGAGTCTTTTGAATTTAAGTGTAGTTGATAATTTAGGATTTGTAGTTAAAAAAAACCCACTGACATCTATGCTGTCATATGTTTGTGCAATCGCAACTTCTCGGGCCTTTCCGACAAGCGGAAAAACAAACCTCGAGGTTGTTTTTCCGACCTTTGACGGAAAGGCCCGAGATGATGCGATTGATGTTTGTGAGAATATCATAGATACAGTGTATTTATAAGCATAGTTTTCATTCATGAAGATCAGGCGCCTAGCCAGAATGGAAATGAAGTGTACGCAGAGAACAGCAAGGGGGGGGGGGAGGGAGGGGTGTTCCAATTTTACAAATCAAAATTTTATAAAAACATTACCAAATTACCATGATTTAACTATTCTACAACAAAAAATAAAAGGTTAGGTTTTGAAATAAGTGGGGGACACCCCCCCCCCCCCGATATTACGTGCCTGCCTGTGAGGACACAGAAGCTCCCGATTATTCATTTTCTTGAAAAATAAAATTCACGCCATTTAAATTTTGTTTAGAAAATAAAAGACAAAGTAATATTTATTGCCTCAACACAAAGTTGATATTTCCATGGAAACTTGTTGTACATATGTAGTTTAGGCTAAATATTTAACCGATATATTGGTACCAAAACACGTATACTAAATGTTAATAAATTATTAACAAGAAATATCGCATTTTATTTTAAATCAAATACTAGCATATCATAACATTCAACGATGTATTTGAAAAAAAAAAATCAATGTATTAAAGAACAATTACAAATTAATGAATGGTTTATTTGGATTTGGTAATGAGTTAATAAAGGATTTCAAATTTTATTATACAGTCATGATGATATAAAATTCAAATCGAAACAATATGACACAAAATAATTTGAAACAAGAATATCTGTTGGATGGTCCTGAGATTACTTCGACCCCCCCCCCCCTCTCTCTCTCTCTCTGCCATAGATTTTTTTTTTAACGGAAATTGATGTGTACGCGCTTGCGTATTTGCGTATAGGCAGCTACGCGCCTGAAGATCGTTCATTCTAGCTGTCTGTCTCCAAACTCTTGATTTTGCCGACTTGTTCAGAATATGCCGGTACTATTTCTAATTCAAGCAAAGTGTGATGTAGTCTACGTACTGACCTGAGATAAATCTCAAGGCATATCCCCCCCCCCTTCCTTGCTATTACTCAACAGACGTAATCTCTCAATCCCCCGTTATCAATCTCACCCAGACTTTCAATCTTTATTCAAAATCTGTATTCAGCATGATCAGACAACCTAGAGCTCCCTGGTTAATGACTTACATGTCAAACTTGTTAGAAATGATAATCATTAGTTAAATATGTATAACAACCTAGAGCTCCCTGGTTAATGACTTACATGTCAAACTTGTTAGAAATGATAATCATTAGTTAAATATGTATAACAACCTAGAGCTCCCTGGTTAATGACTTACATGTACATGTCAAACTTGTTAGAAATGATAATCATTAGTTAAATATGTATAACAACCTAGAGCTCCCTGGTTAATGACTTACATGTCAAACTTGTTAGAAATGATAATCATTAGTTAAATATGTATAACAACCTAGAGCTCCCTGGTTAATGACTTACATGTCAAACTTGTTAGAAATGATTTAATCATTTTCAGAAATTCCTCTGATTCTCTGAGCGGAGGCGATAAAAGAATTAGAAAGACTACATAAACAATATGCTATGGTTCCAGCAGACAATGCTTGTAACAATATCGTCTTTGTTTGTAAGGCTCATTTTTATAACTGTATGTGATATGGTGAATTTGTTTAAATGTATTTTATACATGTATGCCTATTTGGAAAAAAAAATTTTTGGGTAAAATAATTGTTCCCGTGGTTGGTTGTGAACCGTGCATGGTCCTTTGTCTTTTGGGGCGAGATGCCTATCCACTGGACCATGTAGTAATACGACCAACGTATCGTAAATTATTTTAAAAATAGCTGTAACATCAATATATTCTCTACCAAGCCCCTATCTTTACTCCTTACAAAAATATTAACTACTCTAAAGAAGCAACTTCAGACAAACAGTGCTACAACATGTTCTAGAAGTGGTGTAAATCAGATGTGGATTCTCAAACTCCAAAGTACTTTTAGAAAATTTAAAATCGCCAAATTTTTCAAACGTCCGTAACATCAAAACGTACGACTTTTCTTCACTTTACAACCATTACTCACGAAAAATTAAAAACTAGGCTATTTGATATAGACACATGGAACTCGGAAATTTTCGTATTTTGTGATTGGTCATCAACAAAATTACTATGTTAAGAATCACTCTTATTCTACACAAAACTACTCCAAGTTGATATTAAAAGAATGCTAAAGTTCCTCATTGAAAACATTTATATAGTCTTCGGAGACCGGTCTTCCAAAAACTGTTGGAATTTCAATTGGCACTAATTGTGCTCCTTTATTAGCCGACCTGATTTATATTCTTATGAATCAGAATTTATTCAAAAACTACAAAGAAGAAGAAAACACTTGCCTCGGCCTTCAACTCGACATTTTGATATATCGACGACGTATTATCAATTAACAATAGTTACTTCCATTCATAAGTCGACTCGATATATCCCAGTGAACTTGAAATAAAAGACACCGCAGAGTCTGCCACATCTGTTTCATATTTGGATGTTTTACTGACTATAGACGATAAGGGCCAATAACCAACTATAAATTGTTTGACAAATGAGATGACTTCAGCTTTTCCATCGTCAACTTTCCTTATTTATGAAGTAATATCCAGCCATCACCTGTATATGGTGTTTACATCTCCCAACTTATTCGATACATAAGCATGTTCAGAGTACGTTCAATTTTTAAACCGAGGTAGGCTACTGACAAATTAATTGATGTTACAGGAATTTCAAAAACCTCGTTTAAAGTCGACATTTCGTTATTTCTGTGGTCGGTATAATGACCTTGTTACCAAATATAACCTAACATTGGATCGTATTTTGGAAGACGTGTTTCATACCAATTTTTAGGCCTTTGTTTTTATACTGAATATGACTACGAAATGTTCCGTCTACCTTATCAATACATGTGAACGGTCAACAGGGGATGCTTACTTTTCCTAGGCACCTGATCCCACCTCTGGAATTTCCAGGGGTCTGTGTTTTATGCCTTGTTCATAGATTTGTATCGTTTATTTTCTTCTTTTTTGAGATCAATGACTGTTTGTTATCTTCATCAATAAAATAAGGTCAATGCGCAATTATTAAATTTTGCCCGAGACTACTGATAACAAAAGACTGATAAGTGACGAAATACCAACATTTAATTTTATATACATGCAAGAATGGAATCTAAGACCCGGAAGAATTTATTGAGTCATAATTTTGAAATTTTGCCAATTCTTCGAGCCAAGGGACGACAAGCTATAAGTTTTTTCTGATTGTCCAATGCATGTGTCACTGCTTATCAATGTTATTTCAGAAACCGTAAACCTATTTTCAGTTAAAAAAAATCACACGTTATCAGTAGCAATAAATTACTAGTATTTCAATGGGTAATCAGAGATACGGTTTGCGACACAAATCAAACACTTGGTAAAGGGAGGTATGCATACATAATATTTATTTGAAAACGACATTTTGATATAAGAAAATTATAATTGTGGTATTGCGCCCCGAAAACTAAAATTAAACCCCCACCCAATGGTACCAGTTGTGTGTACATGTACATAATTCGAATTGTTATATACACAGGTTGTACGTCATGGGCTGATTCAGGAATTTTTCCCGGGGGTGGGGGTAGGGGTGGTCCATACCCACTAAAAATACAAGTGAAAAAGAAAATGGAGGGGTAGGGTGGGGCTATATTGTCTATTATCTTTCGCTTTCATCATATTTTTAATTTGACCTATCAACTTAGGAAGGGTCCAAGTTGACTGAAGAGGGAGTGCTTCAAAGTCACTCTTAGGTTACTTGCTGTATAAAGGAGATGGGTGAACATGACGAGCGATAAGCCTATAGTGTGACAAACATGAAGATGAAAAATTAAATTTCAATTATATCAAAATTTTCCTTGATATTTCGTCTAACATTAAAATATACTTTATGTATATTTGTATATAATTTCTGTATATATATTTGTATATTGTACATATTGTGTATAAAATCTCTAACTTTTTCTATTTCAATAGATCTAAAAAATGTCATATTGCAAATTTCTCATACTTCTAACTAAATGAAAAGTTCTTTGAACATCATCGAAAATGTTTTCTAAAAATTATCTTTGGAGATCCACTTTTAGTTTATTGTGTTTTTCTTAATAAAATATAGGACAGAGATTGATGGAAATGCAATAGCCCTTCTCATAGCTCATAAAATCCTCACATAAAATAAATATATTACATGTACGAAAGTAGGTCTGCATTTGATAATTATTTAATGTGTCTTGCAAACAACCTCAATCGATATTACTCAAATATATTTTAAAAGATTTATACTAGATAAAGACAGATAACCCTAAAGATATCTAATCAGCTTTTCATAAAAGCGTTCAAAACTTCCTCATACCACGGTTGTACAACATGTTTTCTCTTTAATTCGGGGTCGTGGGTATGAGAAATTGAGAAATATATGACGTATTCTGTCTTTATTACAAGGTAGGGGGTATGAGACTGGTTTTTGCCCTTATTGCAGGATTTGGGTTGTATATATATATATATATATATATATATATATATATATATATATATATATATATATATATATATATATATATATATATATATATATATATATATATATATATATAAACTAAGCTTTTTTTCGATCACATTCATTAAAAAAAAAATTGAATAATCTTGAAAAGTTCAGCATTTTGTAAATTGGTGAAAGAATCTGTTTTTATTGAAGGGCCGGGGGTACGAGAGATTATGGTGTGTCTTGAAGGACAGAACTATCCATATTTTCAAAGACAGAGATAAGAGGGACGAGGACACGGTGAGTGTTTATGACGTGGAAGTCATTCATTGGATAGATATCAATCAATGATCAAGTATTGTTTTTTTTTATTGTTGTCGTAGTTATTATTAAAGTGACATTACGTAAATGTCATACCTATCGCTTTGTCATTTTTTATAAACATTCAATACTTCCTTCGAACTTTTATTTGAATACAAAGTACTGGAAAAAATAATTTAAAAGTCTCTTTAAATCCAATTCATTGACGTTCGATATTTTTATAATGGAGGCTTTTTTACGAAATAATAATATATATTCAAATGTAAATAAAAGTATAAATTGAAACACTTGTATGTGATTTCCAGTTATGTAGACATTTATGTCTTTTTTGCACGTTATAGTCAATTAAATAATTTTATTACGAACAAATGCACGATTCTTATCGATGATCATATCAAAACGTTTTTGAATTAGCAATAGGTTAATATATTTGATACATAGTGCTATTCAGTGACCTTCTGTTAAAATACACGTTTTCTTTAAATATGTTCCCATATGTTTTATTTTAGTAATATCTATTGTCAATAAGAAATTGTTTCCCACATACAAACATTAGCCAGGTGTCGCTAGTAGATATTGAATCATTATTACAAAAATTAGTAGCCAGGTGTCGCTAGTAGATATTGCATTATTATTACAAAAATTAGTAGCCAGGTGTCGCTAGTAGATATTGCATTATTATTACAAAAATTAGTAGCCATGTGTGTTGACAAGTGCTCAGTAAAACAACTTACAGATATCGATAGTTTATTGAGCCACGCGTCGTGACATGTACATAGTACCAGTCCGCTGCCAGTATAATAATATAAAGCGCCGTTTTAGTATTTATTGCAAGGAGATGGGCGAACAAGGCGTGCAAAATGCCTATACCTTCAAATGTATAAAAGTCGCATTCATTTTTGAATTTAGTATTTAGTTCGTTACATTGAAAGGTTTGAAATTGACAAACAAAACTTTTCTGCGGAAAATTCTGTCGGTAAAAACATTCTAAATTGTACTAGCTAATGATTTTTTTCTTTAAAAAGTGGTCTTGGGGTTCGAACCAAACAATAAAATTCCTGTGTATCAATAATCCCCTTCGAGACTTACACGCTAATCACTACGCTATACCACTAATATCTGCATGTAAATCAAGTTTGTAATACTACCCTTGATTAAAGGGACTTCAAATAAAAGATATGAATGTTATGTCGTAAAAGCGTATTTTAAAGATATAGTGGGTCTTTGCTCCATGTTTTTTTAAACCGACGAATGTATACTTTTACGCATACTTTCAGTATAATCTTTCAAAAAAACTCATACTGAATGTGTTTTAGTATGAAGAGTTGATCATGTTTGCTCTTTTTGGTGTATGTATAAATTATGATGAATAAATGTATGAATAATTTCAATCTGTGTGAGGTTGTCGCGATTTCTTGAGATTTTACATAAAGTATTATTCGAATAGATGATATCACCTTTTCGAATTGATGATATCACCTATTTGAAATAAATAGGTGATTTCATCTATTCGAATACGTGATATTACCTATTCGAATTAAATATGTGAAATCACCTATTTGAATAGGTGATATCACCTATTCTAATTTGAGATATCACCTATTTGTTTTCATTTGGTGATAACACTTATTCGAACGAGTGATATCACCTATTTGCATTTCCGATAAAATTAAAAAATGAATGATCCCTTCTTCAAGACAATAATGTAATTTATAAGATTTTCGAATAACAATTTTATTTTCTTAGCATTGATTCAAAAATGATGATTTTGATATTCATACTCTTAAACAAACTTTTTAAAAAAAGATTTTAAAAGATTTTCTGGACTTGCTGATTTGAGCCAGATCCTCTACTACATGTATTTTGACATTGATTGCTCAAATTTGAGATTTTGCAATGAAATTTTATATCACAGCTCTTTTTGGCCTAAAGAAAACCTTTATTGATTTAGAAGTCGAAGGTCAAGGTCAGAAATCCATACATTGCAAATGTCATTTTCCAGATGATACCTTCAGTTTTCTTTGAGTTCTTTTAAAAAACAATTTAAAATCACTTCCTATGGCCTAAAGAATTAAGACTCATATAGATTTTGAGGTCAAATGTCAAGGTATTAAATTCATACATTCTGTCTCTGTGTAACACTTTCGTTTCCAGATGACTTTGGACTTTAATGAAATTTTACGTCAGAATCCATATAACCTTAAAAAGACCCCCATTGATTTTGAGGAGAAAAGTTAAAAAATTCATACAATGCAAAAAATGCTTTCCAGATAATAACTTTAGTTTTCCTTGAGCCTTTTTAGTGAAACCTTATATCTCCCAAGAAGACACTAATTTGATTCTTAGGTCAAAAGGTCGAAGTGAAAAATTGCATATCTTGCATAAAATGGTTTCCTTGAACTCTAGTTCTCTTTGAGGTTTTGTAATGAAAATACCTTTATTCAATATAACGTAAACAAGACTCCTGATGATTTTGAGGTCAAAAGAATGAAATATGAAGATAACGAACAGTAATTAAGCTCAAAAGTCCATTGAAACAATACAAATCGGGAGCATGGCAAGCATATATCTCTAAAACATCAGAGGTGGGATCAGGTGCCATGGAGGAGTACGCATTCCCTATCGACTCGTCATACCTGCTGTGTGCTCATTGTGATGATCGAGCAAACGAAAAAATCAGCAGACAATTCAATGTTAAAGAACAAAGACCAAGGTCAAAATTATTACATAAATAGTTTTCAGATGATAACTTTAGTTCTCTGTAAGCTTTTGCAATGAAACTTAAGGTCATGAATTTCTTTAACCTAAAAAAAGACCTCCTATTGACTTCCTAAGTCCAAAAGCTGAAAGATCAAGATTAACTTTTTATTTCTCCATCTGCATACCCCCCTTCCAGTTTTTCGCCTTCTTTTTCTATTATTTTACACGCGATTTCTTGTCGCATCGAACCATTTATGAAAATGTGCATTTACGTACACTTTGTAGAATGTTTCCAAGTCGCCAAAATTAATAGTGGCGGATGACATTCAAACTGACTAGTCCGTATACATGTATAATAAAAGTATACATGAATAAAAAAGCTAATTTTCAGTATATAACATTTGATTTTTTTCCTGAAAGAAATTCAGTGAGTGTATTTTGTACAGATACTGGGTAGTTTAAACATTGACAACAATACGGAATATAAATATGGAGAAAGTGAGAGAGATGGCTACAAGTTTGAGCTATACACACTGGGACTGGACAGAAGTAAAAGAGCTAACAGATTTAAGGTGAGTGTTCTGATAGTATGTACAAACGTGACAGGTAATATGTTTCTCACACTAGTTAAAGTATTCGAAAAAAAAATCTTTCAGTTTCAAGATACACACTACCACCAGTAACTGAAAGGTGACATTTTTACCGTACTTTCAGAGTGTTTGTATTACTTAAATCCCTTAAAAATTTACTGAAGAAAAAGAGTGTTTTACACTGTATGTAAGAGAGAGAGAGAGAGAGAGAGAGAGAGAGAGAGAGAGAGAGAGTGATTTCAAGAACCACACCAGGAAGTTTGAGAAAAATCGTAAACCTCGAGTTCCGTGCTTGTTCATGAATTTCAATATTACATTGCATTTCTTTGTAACTTTATTTTTTTTCTTTTTCTGTGAATACCATCGTCTTTTCAACAAAGTAACAATTGTATTTTCAGAATGAAATGTATAGTTGCCATGAATCTTGAATCCTTTTTCTCTATATGCTTTATTATTTGTACAACTTTTTAGAAGTAGCCCTAAGGCTATGTTATAAAGAAGGTCAAACTTTAAAAAAGCAGGACTTTCTCTTTCTCTGTAGCCTGAAGAGAATATATGTCTACAGTTTAGGTTAATATGTCTACAGGGAAGTTTAATATGTCTACAGTGTAGGTCAATACAGTTTGAATTGTCTAATCCAGCCACCACTGGTTCCAAAGAAATTAGCCGAATAATACAACATTCCGGATTAATCAACATTTTAAACATTCGAAATTATTGAAAGGAATTTGAAATTGGGCGAAATTTTGGAATACACAATATCTGGATTAGACATGTTTCATTGTATGTCTACAGGGTCAATATGTCTACAATGTTGGTTAATATGTTTACTGTGTAGGTTTATATTATTCTACAGTTTAGATTATTTTGTCCTCTGTGTAGGCTAATATGTCTTCAGTGTAACAGTATATGTTTAAAGTGTAGGTTTTTATTGTAAAGTTTAAATTATTGTGTCTACAGTGTACGCTAATATGTCTATAGTGTAGGTTAATATGTACATGTATACAGTGTAGGTTATTATGTCTACAGTGTAGGTTATTATGTCTACAGTGTCGGTTATTATGTTTACAGTGTAGGGTAACATGTCTACAGTGTAGGTTACTATATGTCTACAGTGTAGGTTATTATGTCAACAGTGTAGGCTAACATGTCTACAGTGTAGGTTATTATGTCTACAGTGTAGGTTATTATGTCTACAGTGTAGGTTATTATGTCTACAGTGTAGATTATTATGTCTACAGTGTAGGTTAATATGTCTACAGTGTAGGTTATTATGTCTACATTGTAGGTTATTATGTCTACAGTGTAGGACAACATGTCTACAGTGTAGGCTAACATGTCAAAACATAACAAAATTACACATAACTAACCAAATTAATAATTAAGTAACTAGATTCTTGGTGAATATTCACAGATCGAAGAGTTAATTCTTTGTAAAAAAGAAAATTATAATTCAGGAAGTTAATATGCTATTGAAGTTCGGGATTAATCTTAACTTCTTCCAACTCGAATGAAATATGACTATGGAATAATATAAAATTACAGTCTTTTTGTCAACTCCTAAATTGATATCATTCGTGCAGAAATGTTAACCGTTGCCTTTCTGTAAGGAATATCCCCAAAAGATGAGTAAAGTCTTATTTTTTAAAGCGACGCCAATAAAAGGGAACATTACTTTCCCCAGCGGTATAGTTTATCATTCTGGGTATTTTAAAATTTACATTTTCTTTGAAAAGGCGAGCCGGATGCTTACTCATTTGAAAATGGACTTCTTAATGCACCAGCTACGTAACTCAGAGACCTCGCTTCATTTTTTATTAGCTCACCTGAGCTGAAAGCTCAAGTGAGCTTTTCTGATCACCAGTTGTCCGGTGTCCGTCTCTCTATCCGTCCGTCTGTTAACTTTTTACATTTTCGACTTTTTCTCAAGAACCACTAGATCAATTTTATCCAAAGTTGACACAAAGCAATCTTGGATAAAGGGGATTCTAAATTATTCAAGTAAAGGGCCAAGCCTGCTTCGAAGGGAAGAAAAACAAGAAAAGGCAATAATAGGGTGGGGCATTAAAAACTATTCATAAGAACCACTGGGCCAGAAAAGATGAAACTTATGTGGATGCTATCTGAGGAATTGTAAATTCTAAATTGTTCAAATCATTACCCCTCGGGGATTAGGGTGGTGCCACAATAAGAGAAAAAAAGTTTTACATTGAAATATATAAGAAAAAATCTTTAAAAAATCTTCTCAAGAACCACTGGACTAGAAATGATGAAACTTATAAGAAAGCTTCCTGAGAAAGTGTAGATTCTAAATTGTTCAAATCATGACACCCGGGGGTAGGGTGGGGCCAAAATAAGGGATCAAAGTTTTACATTGAAATACATAAGAAAAAACTTCTCTAGAAACCCACTGGTCTAGAAAAGAATAAACTTATGTGAAAGCTTCCATAAATAATGGAGATTGTAATTTTTTTTAAAACATGGACCCTGGGGGTGAGGTGGAGCTAAAATAAAGGATCAAAGCTTTACATTGAAATATATATACAATGTAGGGGAAAAATCTTTTAAAGAACATAACCAGAAAATATGAAACTAATGTGAAAGCTTTATGAGGTAGTGTATATTCTAAAACTGTTCAACGCATCCCCCCCCCGGGGGGGGGGGGAGGGAGGGGAGGCAAAATATGGTATCAAAATTTCGTCATTAATTTGCTGATATTCCCATGTTGTGTTAATTCATTTTTTAAATTATAGACCCGAGTTAGAGTTTGCCAAAATCGAAATCAAATATCACATAATGCATGTATACAGGAAAAGAATTTTCTTCTCTATCAATGTAAGGCCATGTTAGTCATATTGATATTGAAGCATCCCGATGGTGTGTGGATTCAGAGACACCATAGAGTGAATGTGGGACCATAATATGGGGTACCAATTTTTACGGGAATATAGAAATTTTAAAATCTTCTGTAGAACAGCAGGGCTAGAGTACTAGTAACCCAGGTGAGCGTGGTGGCCCCTGGGTCCGTTGTTGCGATGCAAAAAGATGGTAGATAAAAAGATTTTGAACATCCGTGTTTGGCTGGGTGAAATCTGTTACTTGTAAAAATAAAATATAAAAATCGTGGTATCGCCCACTCAGCATGAAAACCAAGACAATCAATCAATCAATCATTGCAGAAATATTTTAAGTTTGCAGTTAGTAAATCTTTTAAACCATTAATTTTATGTTGAACTTATTTTGAAAATTAATTTAATTCAAAGAGGGTGTTGCAGAAACTCGTGATTATTCCCTAAATCGAGAAGGACATTCAAATACCCACGACGCATGAATCGTTATCTCTAAATATAGATAATGCTACGTAGATGACTTTATTTAAACGACGGGTATGTCCACTTGTTATAACAAAACATTTCACATTTTACGTTTATTTCATGCATAGCTTTTTCCTAACATAGACTGGCGACCTGTGAGTAAACTTTTTTCACATCCATGGTCGCTGTCGCCATATTGCACGAAAAAAGTTAGAACGATAAAAAGCACAATTAATGGCAAGTGCACCTCGCACATCATTTTGAAAGATGTACACTGTAAAAAATGATGTTTAACTTGTGTTTAATTTTTAAACAGTCGTGTTTTACAATTAAACATGGTGGGTTTAAATACAAAACATTAGCGTTTAACATATAAACACGACTATTTAAATTGGTGTTCAATAAGTATGGTGTTTAATCATCCATCTTAAACACGCAATGTTCATATGCATCAAATCAAAAAATTAAATTAGGTGTTGCTTCTAAGTATTGCTGTGTGCATTTGCCATTTGTACAATTTCTTTAATTTACGAAGTAATTCCGTACATACTAGTAGATATTTTTCGACACAGAAAAAATACGAATAACCAGGCAATACGTTGAGTTTAGATCATACCAAAAGCAATTACAATTAACATTAATTTATGGTAATTTTGTGCCAAAAATTCATAAATTTCATAAACTGCTAAAGGGGAAAGAGAAACATATATTATGGTGACTTTTATAATTTTACCAATATTTTAATCACCGGTGTTTAGCACGAGTGTTCATTTCTTAACCATCATATATTTATAAATTAAACACATGGTATATATATAGAAAATGCAAATTAAACACCTGTGTTTAATGCGTTATGATAGAAAATGACGCAATTGATTATGTCATAACATGCCATTTGAACGCAGAAGATGTAGAATCACTCATATACTGGCAAAAACACCATATCTAACAAGAAAACATGAGGTATTTATACATTTCTTTATATAAAATCTGAAAAAAAAAATTGAATGCTTAATACATTAGAGATTTATACTGCTTTTTATTTATGAAATGCAGGATTGTTAGGCCTATCGTCTGAGTGCAAATGCGGCCATGTGCAGCGATCGGCATAAAATATTTGTAGTCTTTAAGTATATTGCGATATCTAATTAATTTGCAGGGACGTTCATCTCTTATTGTGAATCCTGAGAAGAATACATTACTTGATAAAGGAAAGTGATTTTAAACGAAGATCACACTTAACCTTGAGAGGTGAGTTTAAAGGGCATTTCAAAGAAGAAGGGTCATCCCCCTTACACACATACACACCCTCACACACACACAAACATCATTGTTTCCTAGCCTACACTAGTTTTGGATCTCCCAGTAACATGAAATTTAAGTAAATGTAATCCAATTACCTGCCCTTGATAAAATTTATGCTCCCTATCACGCATTATTATGATTATTTGCTGACCAAACATAACTTAACACATAAGCGTTAACAACAACACTTTTCATCCCCTGCCCGCGCATGTATTCTTTAAGGAGACTTAACATTTTTGGGGAGTGTTGTTTACCTGATAGAAAATGCCTTGGGTAGCCCCCCCCCCCCCCCTCCCTTCTCTTAATTGTTGCTGTTGGGCTGCTCCTGCAGGTACATTAATATTTAATTTTTTAGTGTATACACTGTTTGTATGCTTAATATATGATTTATTTGTATTGCAGATTTTTATTTCAAACTTGTTTCTCAGTATGTATTATATAATTAAAATTGGCATGAAGGATAAAAAATTATTTTTTTTATCTCAATGTATTCTTTTACAGATAATTTTCTGAATTTGCATAGTGAATATTTTTTATCTATCTATTTTTCAGGATATTTCTTATAAGAAGAAGGAATTAGAAATACTAAGGTTGAATAAAATTTTGGAGAATGGAAAACTGGAGATCATCATTCGTGGCAGAAGAACCTGAATTTTACACACAAGCAGAGGAGACTGTTTAACTCGGTTAGAATATGAAATTTAGTGAGTGATACCCCGGTAGCTCTTGTGAAGTTGCAAGAATATTTAATGAATTAGTCGTTTACAGGTAAAAACTGGAAATTTTCTTCATATGGTTAAAACTCTGAATATTAGTGAAAGTAAAATTATACAGGTACAACAACTGGATTTATTAACTGCAATACATACACAATGTATATATCCCGTACCCAGGCAATAAATAACATTTTCAGTCTTTGTGCATTATATTTTATTATGAATTTGTTTGTTTTATTAAAAAAGATGTAATGGACGCCCTGTCCCTTTTTAAAAATAAAGTTTCAAAATTTTATTCCTGAAAAAAAATATTTCATTTTATTAAGCGATTTTCCTATTTCACCCCCCTCCCCCCCCCCCCCCCCCCGGCCACCAATTTTATTGAATTTTAGTTCACATGCAGGTTTTACATGTTCATGCTTTTTTTTTTTTTTTTTTTTTTTTTTTTTAAATAATTCTATCTTTCAACTTGAATTGAATTATGTATCTACAAGTGTGTGTTAGCAAATGTGTTGATAAATGTTATAATTGTTTATAAAGTTTGAATCTCTATTCAACATTAAATCATTTATTAATTAAGCTTTATGTACATGTTGGTCATCAAGAACAGTGTGTTTTGTACTGTTTTATGTTTGTTTCAAATAAAAATGTTGAAAACTTATAAACACGTTTAAGTGTTTATTTATTTTGTAAATTAAACACGTTGAAGTGTTTAAAAAATGGCGTATAAACATGTTTAAGTGATTATTATCTGTTGCATCGAATAAACATGTTTAAGTGTTTAAGTGTTTAGGTTGAACGTGTTTATTAATAAAACATGAAATGTTTAAATTTTAAACACGTACGGTGTTTATTTATTAAACTCCTTGTGTTTATTCAGTGTTTAATCTTTAAACGTTTTGTGTTTTTGAAGTGTTTAGTATTTAAACAGAATGAGAAAGAAGTATTTAAATATTAAACCTCATGTGTTTAGAATTTAAACATTTTAACGTGTTTATTTCTTAAACACTTCACGAAGTGTTTAAATTTTAAACGTGTTAAAGTGTTTATTATCTGTGGCAATTTGGTGTTTATTTTTAAAACACTTATTTTTTACAGTGTACTGGAGACAGCATGCGTTAATATTTTTCAATATATAGAAATGTGTCCAATAATCACGCTGTTGATGCAATATCCAAGCAACTCAATTTAGTCGTTTCAAGTCAAATCTGAGCCACTAATTAACAGAACAATAATGAAACGAAATGCGTATGAAAAAAAATATATTATTTAAAATGATAGTACTTTATTTTTTAAGACTTCGCCACTAAATAATAACATTAAGGACATACGCAACGTACCTTACCTATTGATAATTTTTCAAGATATTCTTTATTTAAGATTATAGTGCCATCAGATATTCGTAGACAAAAAATCAGCAGGCATTACCAGGGATTTTGAAAAGATATTAATTGATGAAAATTCTTGTATAATTAAAAGAAAAATACACAAAAATTACTAAACATATATTCTAGAAGTTTTGTTTATCCAAACTTGTTTTTGAAGAAGTGTACAACAGCATATATAGACAATAAAATGTTGCACAAAGTTCCTTTATGTATTGGAACTCTTCAACTCCAGGGAAAAGGACGATAAAGTTCAAACTACCTTGCGTATGTCCTTAAATATATGTTTTATTAGTTTTAGATCACAATATCAAGGAAAACAATTTAATTCTGCATGCATTTAAAATATTACCCATTAACTTTCTGACATTCTCTCCCTCTCCCTTTCTCTCTCAAGAAAGCTGTTACATTGTACTTCCATTATATAAGAAAAAAATATGTACAGTGTATATACACGTATATACCAGCCATTCCAGAATTCGAACCCATTCTCAGGTAAAAGAATCATTGGATAGAGTCCATTATATAAGAAAAAAATATGTACAGTGTATATACACGTATATACCAGCCATTCCAGAATTCGAACCCATTCTCAGGTAAAAGAATCATTGCACAGAGTCCATTATATAAGAAAAAAAATTGTACAGTGTATATACACGTATATACCAGCCATTCCAGAATTCGAACCCATTCTCAGGTAAAAGAATCATTACATAGAGTCCACACGCTTTACCACTAGACCAACTCCGACAGTAAAAATCATGGCCGTAGGAACCGGGGAGGCATGGGGGGGGGGGGCCGTGCCCCCCAATAATTTTGCCGATATATAGATTACTATAGTAAACATAGGTAGTATATGCAATAAAAACGTCTGATGACCTTTTTTTTTTTTTTTTTTTTTTTTTTTTGCTTGTCAGGAAATTTTTGGTAGTGCCCCCTCAACTGTCAACTGAAAAATGTATGGCTGTGCCCCCCCAAACTGAAATTGCTTCCTACGGGCCTGAATATTATTTGCTATTTTATGAGCACATTTTGCATTTCGGATGGATAATAATTTTTATTCGATTTTTGTGATTTTCAAAAATATGCCTCTTTGAAACAAAAATCGGAAATGGCAGTTTTGAAGAAAAATCCTTTCTCTTTATGCGGATATCAAATTCATTCTGTTTCAAGGAGGCAATTTTTCAGAACAATGGGGATTCCCTATTTGAAAAACAGAAAACTTGACTTATTTTGCTATGTGACTAATTTACACATCATTTAATGGCAAATTGGAAGTCGATATGCAGTTTCTAAATATTGTTCTACACTGTGCTGTATATACCGTTGTATCTGAAAAAAATTAATTCCGTTTTCTGTTGCTTAATTTTTTTCTTTTAAACTGCTACAACTTTAGGGAAAATAACAAAAGAACTGCAACACCCTCTTTGTAGATGACATGTTAATACTAGTATAACCTCATATTTACAGACAAGAAAGAAAGTGGAAAGAGAAATGTGGAGGGCCTATATCATCGGTCTGTCTAAGGTTTGTCGGTACAAAACGATTAAGTTCTAAAGCAAAAAAGGGAAGTTTTTCGTAAGATATTTGGTTATGCTTTAGAATTGTTATTTTTGCATAAACTAAACTGCCTTTAATCTGGATCCAGGGTACTGTTCCCAAAGACCTGGATTTAATGGAAGGCCAGATTGAGGATATCGAGGCTAGCATAAGCGCCTTCCTCCACGAAGAAGCTAACAGAATAGGTGGGGGTGGATCTCCTTCTGTAGGTGGCGGATCCAGTCACCAAGCACTTCAGAAAAGGATCTCGATGTCTCGATCAGAAGACAGTGGTATTGACAACGCCAGCAGGTACCCCAGATCCTACAGGTCTCAGCATTCCTCGTCTTCCGGCTCCAGAGATACAATCAGCGGGGGCGGTGGAGGGCCTACAATGGTTAGAGTTAGACGAAGTATATGAAATAACATGCGCGGATCTAGATGGGGGTAGGAGGTCCGGAACCCCCCCCCCCCCCCCGGAATTTGCAGAGTTATTAAAAGTATATACTGAAGCAAATAAAAAAATGACTTTGGACCCTCCTAGAAAACAAGGATCCTACCACGAAATAGGTTTTTTTTTCACCTTCGGGAAATGGATTTTACCTTGTTGTTTTTATTTTATTTGTTTGTTTGTTTTGTTTTGTGTTTTTTTTTTTTTTTTGCTTTTCAAGAAATTTCCTGGGTTTAATACGTTTGATAGGGTACGAAAGCCTATAAGGATCAAACTACGGTAAAAAAAAAAATTAAAAGGCGTTATAACGCCTTTTCAAAAGGAGTTATAACGCGAAAAAAGGCGTAATAACGCCTTTTGAAAAGGCGTTATAACGCGGAAAAAGGCGTAATAACGCAAATAAAGGCGTAATTACGCCTTTCCAAAAGGCGTTATAACGAGAAAAAAGGCGTTATTACGCCTTTCCAAAAGGCGTTATTACGCCTTTCTAAAAGGCGTAGTTTGATCCTAATAGGCTTTCGTAATAGGGGAATTTAGGTTTTTTTCGTTTTTGTTTTTTTTTTGTTTGTTTTTTTTTTTTGGGGGGGGGAGGGGGTTAAGAAATTTCTAGGTAGGATTTTTTTTGACTGGGGTGACCCCCCCCCCCCACCCACCCGGAAAAATATCCTGGATCCGCGCCCGAATAAATACATTTTGTTGTGATAAAAAGTATTTAGCAAAATTTGTTTTTCTTTACAGAGACATAAGTTCACAAATGATCCAAGAATGGATGACGAAGCACCAAGGTATGTTTACTAGTAATCGGAAACACGAATCATGGAGGGGTGCATGCATCATCTTTTGGAAACTATATGCCTCCTCCCCCAAAAAGTAACTTCAACTTAACAATTTATATTTGTAGTTGGTTTTTCACAAACTGCAGTAGGAACTTTGCAGAGAAAGTACTGGTTAACGCTGGTCGATTTGGTAATACTATGATGAGGGAAAGTTCATCACAGAAAACCAGCGGAAGTTATGTCATCAGTAAAATAGGAAAAATAGACGGGTAAATAAAGCCTTGAGCCCGTTAATAAGACTCAATTCATTCGACCACTTGTTTTTTTTTCAAATATTCTTAGTATATTCTTTGTCATCCGTTTTCTTTCAAAGTTGTCGTTCCCGCAGAGGAAGACAACTCTGGAAAGAGAGTATGTGGCAATATTATTGCATATATATATATATATTCACACTGGACATGTTTAATTTATGTCAGAATGTATTATCCTTAGCTCTGTACATAGAAACTGCTTGTATATAGTATATTTATTTTTGTTTTGATCTTTTTTCCCAAATCCAAAAAAAGAAGAAGAAGAGTTTCCAACAGATAATAAAACATACTTAGAATTTTTGCAAATTTACAATTACAATCGTGAATGATGTTCAGACAAACAATAAATAATATTACGAATTCGATAGAAAAAGAATTCATTATTGTGGTGAATGCATCAATATTCTTTCACACTCACTGTCTTGTAACCCCATTTTTTACTCAATTAGACAATATGGTATATCTAAGATCTGTTTCTTTCTAGTGAGGTGAGAATAGAACATTTTGAGGTGGAGCGAATTGACAGAGGCTATAGAATCAAAGTAGAAAATGATGTGAGTTTGCCAACGTACTACCTATCTGTAGTTTTATTTCACGAAACTGAATCTTACTGCAAAGAAAAACGTATATCATATAAGTAAAATACAAATACGATATAATGATTGAGAAGGAGAAAAAGATGTCATATCAGAAATTTTTTTTTATAATATTTTATAATTAAGCACGAGCCACAGAAGAATCTCACAGGCGTGATGAATACGTTCCGATTTATAGCGGGATATGACAACACACTCCCAATGAAAACGAACGACCTGTCTGACCTTGGACTGACCGTGGATGACGCAAATCCCTACCATCTGAAGAAGATAGAAAGAGGTAGGATTTCCGTCCGACTGTGGTAGAGGCGTCATTGAAATTATGTGTTACCTCCTTATTATCTATCACAACATTAACAATTTTATCCTATTAGAAAAAATATCTTTCTTTGTCATTGAAATAATTACGAGAAAAAAAATAGTGCTCACCATGCAATACTAGTATATGTTTTTCTTCTCTGCTAAACTTATAAAACCTTTCACCAACTATCATTTTTTAATTAGACCTATTCTTTTATGGAGAAAGTTATTATATACATTGTCTGAAAACCAGTCCAGTCATATTTTCTAAATACAATAACTGTAATGTGAATATCTAAATTGAAATTAAGATTAACAAAAAACGGTTGTTTGCATTTTATTAGCACACCTACTTGTTAATTTAATTTTTTCTCAAACCATATAATGGTCAAGTATAGGGAAGCCTGCAGATACGTATAAATAAGCACTTCTGTCGTGTAAATTTGCTTGTATTATAGCACTTCTTGGAATGTTTTTTTGGGAATGGTATTATTTTTCAGAACTTCCAAGTACAGCCAGAGAGCTCCCAGAACCTTTACCAGGTAAATTAAACCAACAAGCCATGTGTTAAAATTAGTTCCTCAAAAACACTTTTACCATTGAATTTTTTTTTATGTTTGGCTTTGGATTTATATTTTATACACCACTTTAATTCTCTCATTGGCAATTAATCTCATTTGATTAAATACATTAATTTGATATTTTTGCTTCTGGCTTTATCATGGCTTTAGGTTTAACACTATTAATACTGTTTTATCATTAGATTATGAGGAACCGGTGCTACGTCCATCCAAAACATTCAACCCCGGGATCCTGAAAAAGGAGAAGGCTAAATATGAAAGAAGAAGTGAGTTTGAGGAATGTATTTGAAAATACATTCTACTTAAACCCGAACCCCCCCCCCTTCCCAAGTCAGTCCAAATTCTCAAAGTAAAGGTGTATATATCTTTGTGATATTATGAGATATTTACGTTTGTCAAGAGTTACCTTGCCGGTAAGATCTTGGATTTATACCTTCATATAAGATTGTATAATGTCGATAGGTATGGTTATAATTCAATTTACATCAGTTCGAGAGAGAATCGAAAGGGGCAGGGACAATAGAAAGAAGAATACGTGTTTAACTTACTTTCAACTGGTATTTCGAACACGGCTATCTAGAATACTTTGTATATGAAGTGAGTCGAAAGTCCCAACCACTATTTCAATATGTATTTTAACCTCTATATCTGAGTCCCCGGTTATGTTTTTCTCGGCCCTATCTATCGCGGGATAACTAGTTTGACTGTAGCTGTTATGATGATGGACTACGTGCTCCCAGTTGACTTTCATCTCATACATAACAAAAAGACACATTTTGTAAACACCTAGAGCTAATTTATACACAAGAACTGAATCAAGAAATTTTAGTCTTTTAAAATGCCATAAGCTGCTCCTGTAGTGTCTTAAATCATTCTTTTATAAAGCTTAGATATTATAAATGATCTCAGTCATGCATAAAGCAGAAGAACCTCGCATTTTAAATACTTAGATATATTATTGATGTTATATCCTCATTTCTCGGTTACTTTTACACAAACCTATCTCACTCCTTTCATTAGGAGACTAAAACATGGTATTTTGGTACTTTTTACTAAATTGTTTGATTAATGATTGTACAATGATAATTGACTGATAAATTCATGTATAATATTTATATAGATTGCTTGTTTTTAATAATTAATCGAATTATGAGACATTGATATACATACACGATAACTCAAATTTCAATCTTAATTGTTTTCGAAGTTTTCACGCTGTTTTACATTTTAACATCATAGGATTTTTTATATAGTTATTTTTTGCATGTATATAATTCCTGATTTTTACTTTCCTGTTTTTTTCAAATATACTTATATTTACTTTTATATGTATATTATTACTGATTTTTCGTTTCCTTTTTTATTTTGATCTGTAATTAGCTGTTCAGCATTTTGGCACGACAAGGAGTTCATTTACACAAAAATCTAATAGACAGGCACCCCGTGAGTTTATTGTGATATGAAGCTTGCTGCATGCCTCATGATTTGCAATTTTTCAAGTAGTTTATGTATACTGTTTTCTGTTACACATAAATTTAAATAGACCACAGTATATACAATACTCATTTTAATACGTACAAAAAGTATATTCTTTATCCTTTATGTTTGTGTACAAAAAAGTATAATCTTGAGAGAGAGAGAGAGAGTAATTTTATCTACTGATTTAAACTATTACCTTGTAAAAATATTTGTAACTTCTTGTTCTTGAATATTAGCTTTTTCTGTTTTCAATTTTCTGTTGTGTACAATGTATAATTATTTTTATTAACTGAAAAAGTATCAGATAATTTAGGTGCAGATTAACAATTCATTACAAATAATTGCATAAATTACTCATTTTGTGTGTACATGTACTTTAATTTCATTTTATTTCCATATATTATATGAAATTTTTTATGTAAAAGTATGCTGTTAGAATTTTCAATATAGCATATACTATCAGTAAATTAAAATCGACAGAACAAAATCACAAGAACGAAAAATGTCTTTCGAGAATGATCGAATTAACTTTTGATTTTCTAACATGATTTTTCTAAATTACATATGTACTTATACAACACTCTCTTACAGGAACCCCCTCTCCACCCGAGTTTGATCCGCCTGCGCCTCATCGAGAATCCGTCTACTACAACGCGCAAGGTTATCTATTTTCATAAAAAGATGTGCTTTGATAATGTTAAATATTCTGTCATGGTTTTCATCTACCACATCATTTTATAAAAAAAAAAAAAAATACAATTAACTTATTTTTAAACAGACAGCAACGTGCAGGGAAAATCACTCCAGAAACCACGCGCCCAATCTCCAATACCACCCCCTACCCCTCATATCCCTGATACACAGGCATACTACAATGAGAACGAATTTAAAGGTAAATATTAAAAATGAAAAAGAAGGTAATGTTTTCAAATGAGCATTTTAATATTTTTTTTTATTTTGGACTGATGATTTTTTTTTAATATTTAATGTTCATCCAAAAATAAACATTTTCGCTTTGATCTCCGCCCCAGATGAACTCCACACACCACCGCCCAGTCCTTGCTCATTTAGTTCCTTCTCCAACAACGTCACAAGGGGTAAAGTTCACCTGAAATTTCTCCTAGAAAGTCAACATTTATGAATATTATATTCTTAAAGATGAACTATTATCTCATACACATTTCTCAAAATAACTAAGCACCCTACTTTGTATACAAACTTCTTAGTGACTATCGTGAAGTTTATGCACAGAATACATTAATTCATTTCACTTACAATGTACATATTCCTAGCACTTGGTGGCTTTCACCAACATAACCATCAGGTATACTTCATCCTGAATTAAATAACGATCATTTAACATAGAAAATGGCAGACGGATTAAACTACATGTACTAAGCTACGTGTAGATAAAAATTTGAATGAAAAAAAATCACTGATATTCAGATGATTAAGTTCGCAGAATAAACATGAAAAGAAGAAAAGTCTCTTCAGCAAGTGGTGATACATTGAATAGAACACTTGAATATAAGACGTTTGAAATGCAAAATTTAGATACCTTTCGCTTCATTTGCCTTATCATCCCAAAGACCCCATAAACTAGCCATGAACAGTTATAATTCATATTTATATTTCTAGCTTAGTAATTGAAGATAAGCATATTTTATGAAAAATCTTCTTATTTTCTTTATTTATTTTATATACTACCTACAATGTTTATGTCACAAGTCACGTGCGTTGTCGGTATTTCAGAATTAAGCCATTAAAATTCAAGTAAACGGACAACCTTACACATGAAATAAATGTCATAAATTATATTTTTAAATACATTTTTTAATAGATAGGTATCATACAAAAGTGGGCACTGTCATATAATATTAATCAAGATGGTTTTTAATTTTCAAATCAGTTAGATGGCAGCAAGAATTCCATTTAAGGACATGGTCTTAAAGTGTAAATGAATTAGGATTATAATGATTGACACGTTAGTATAATTGATAACTTCAGATCTGAAAGGCAAGGAGCCACTTCACAAGAGGTCCATGTCTGTCCCAGATATAAAACACACACTGAAGGTCATTTCAACACAGATAGATGAGGATCTCCACCAGCCAGGTACCAAAAAATATATCTGTTACATCTAAATCAGGCCATTCCAAGTTTTTTTTTTTTTAGTTTAGAGTCCACCCATCTTTCAAAAACTTACCTATCTTTTCAAAAAACAAAAAAACAAAAACAAAAACAAAAACAACAAAAACAAACAAACAAACAACAACCAAAAAAAAAAACCCACACACAATTAAAACAGACTTTATACTCAGAAAAATGGCACCATTGCAGGGATTTGATTTCATTAATCTATTTTTTCTCATAGAGAGATCTATTCCTTAGCAAAATAAAGGAATTGTTAAAAATACCTATAATGACTGATTTTAGACAATTATAGAAAGAAATTGACAGAATTCAAAGGTTTTGGCCAAAAGAATCAATTTTAGGACTCCTTATTTTGTTTGTTTTTTTCGGATGTGGGGTGTCAAAAACTAAGGCACATACTGACATTAAACATAGAACAAAAATTGGAATTGCTATAGTTCATCCAAAATAAAATGATTTTTTTTTTAAATCCGAATATACTGAGATTCTTCTGTAAAGCATTCTTCTTTGTCTTTTTTAATTAGGAAAAGTAAATTGGAGTTAAATTTCACTTTTTATCTATACCAACCATAGCAAAGATAAAAATAGAATCTTCCTTTGTTTTGTACCTGCTGAAGAGTATCGAAGTGATATATAATGTATTTTAATTCAGCTATCAGAAACATCCCTCCACCCAAATCACTGATTCCTTGCGCCCCACCTCCACCCCCGTCAGTCCCAGTACCGGCACCATCTGTCACAAGTCCTGTCCAACAGACACCAGTCTCAATTCTGAAGTCAGACAAACGGTCTCTACCCTCCCTACCACCAACCCCTAATGAAGAACCCCGCAGTTGTGTGGAGACCGACACCCCCACACCAGCACAGATGGGGCTTAGACCAGTGAAAGTCAAATCAAAGTCTGAGGCAAGTTCTTCCAGGTAAGTTTGTTTTAAAATTATCTAGGACTTGAAAAATTTATTTTGTTTACAAAATGCACAAACACTTTCTCTAAAAAGTAATTTTTAAAATCCACGTTTTAAAATACACTAAATTTAACAATAAAATGTGAAATAACTCCCTGTAGATAATTTTACTGAAACAGACCCATCCTTTGCTTTATTGATTATCAGAATGAATGTTTAGAAAGTTATCAGTTTTGCTGTTTATAACTTTAGAAAAATCAAACCTTAGTTATTCAGTATAAAGCACATATAAATCATAACCTATGTAGATAAAATGATGTGTTTGAAGAAAAAATATCTTTAATTTGACTTGCACAATGGAAAGAGAGAACATTTTGGGAGAAAATATGAGCAGCCAACAAATGTTTTAAAAATGTATATCAAATCGTATAAGTCCCTCCATGGGTGAAACCCTATTTTAATCTCACTCGGTGCAATAACATGAATGTGTGCCTGTCTTTATACAGTATCTCCAGTTCCTCCAATCTCACCCCAACACCTCAACAGCTGGGTCTCCGTCCTGTTAAAGATGTCCAGAAAAAGGCTTATTCGTGAGTGAATCATTTCAACTAACTTACTTCTAAAATCTTAGCTTTACTTTTAACAGCTTGCTATTTTCCAATCTAACTTAGGGGTTTTATATATAATTTATATAAATTAAATTGCTTATTTTTATCAATTCGATACTATGCTGTTAAAGATTAATTGCTTAATATTTTAAAATCATTTCTTTTGACTTTTGAGCTTGAATACTGTTCGTTATCTCCATATGTTTCTTTTAATTCCTATTATCTGTTTCTCTCATAAATATAATATATACATGTATGTTATAATCACGTGTACTGATGATACCCACGAGGTTTTTTTTGGTCTGTTTATAGAGCAACAAAAGAATATGAGGATGCGCAGTCGGTCAAGGACATTCGTCAGAGGTTTGAAAAGAAAACCCCGCCTCCTACTGCGCAGAAACCCACAGGGTATCAAGCACGCAAAGGTAGGTGGGATGCAGGCGGACGTTCTGAATAATGTAGGGAAATTTACAAATTATTTTAAATATTATAGATTTTGAGTCAAAATTTGATTTGCTTTTCACTAGTCCGAAATATCTGACGTTTTCCATTTTTTTTTTTTTTTTTTTTTTTTTTTTTCCGATTTTGTTACTTGGCGTGTCTGGCAAGTCAAAATATCAAAATCGTGAAAAACACCTGGAAAACGTCAGATATTTCGGACTAGCTTTTCACTAGAATTTCTTTTCTTCAAATGAAGTAATAAATTTATGTGAAGAGTTCAGATTCATGGAATCATAAGCCAATAAAAGAAAACGCAATGAATGCTATATACAAACGAAATTCATACAAATCTAGGATTATTATTTATGCTATAACTTAAACAGTTTTTCACAGACCAAAAATGTTAGGTTACATGTGCATTATTTTATATCTCATATTTTACACCATATTTGTTATTCTGTATCTCTTTTCATAGACAACAAACGCCTTTCTTCTTCGTCTTTCTCTATATCACATTCTTCAGTTCATGCAAGTCAAGAAATCAGAAATACTAACAGTGAATATCGTCGTCGCATTTCTAACAATCGTAAAATGCCACCTTCACGGCATAGTGCTCCTGTCTTGCACATTACATCACTGGAATATAGTAATTTGAGTGACACATTTGATACTTCAGATGAAGACGAGGAGGAAAACTATCATGACGCAATTTCCGTTGGTAAGGAAGCTGTTTCTATATAGTAATGTGTGGCTGATTCTTTATACATTATGCTTTCAGAAAATCGTTCTTTAAGTGAGCCAGCAATTGTCCCTGGTCATTTTCGGGGTATGTCATAAATGTGTATAAAAATATCCATCCTTGGGTGTGCTAACAGTCAAACGCGTGTTTAATTCCACAAAACGTACGAATTAAAAGTTTGTATTATCTCCAGAAAATACAAGTATATCACATTAATAACCATGTTGCTATCCCTCTTTTAAAAAATGCTTATGTCTTGTAATTATAAAGCAAAACTCACATTTTTAAAAAAGAAAATTTTGATAAAATTTCACTGATTAAGCTGGGCGTGTAGAGAACGAATATTTTACTTACATTTTTGCTTAAAGCTTCTATACTTATTCGGATATCAAAGTTTCATGTCAGGTGTCACTTTGAACTTTCCAGAATATGTAAACACGAGCATTGTGGAGAAAGGTAGTTAAGAAGTAGTCATACGGTGGTTTGAGAATTTGCAGCAGCTTGATGATTTCTAAACTAGATTGCACATAGATTCAAACTATTTAATACAATATGTACGAAAAATTGTATATCCTTTTCTTTTAATTATGACACGTTATGACGTATTAACCAGTAATTTTATTAAATTAATATGTACTAGTATATCTCACACTGACTTTTAAGAAGCTCATCCTTTTTTCTAGATATGGAAAATCCTTAAAGAAAAGCACATTTACAAAAAAAACTAGAACAAAGTACAATGACGTCACTGTACACTCACATAACTTATAATATTCAGATTTAGTTTTTAGTATGATTGAAATGTAATTTTGTTTGATTGTGAATATTTGCACCATATTATTTTTTTAAAACGCTAGTGATATGGTTTGCAATTTTGTGTATATTTGACTGTTTGGTGTTTGATTTAGGTACTATCTGAAGAAAATTATATACATACATGTAAATTGAAGACATATTTCTTAAGTGTCAAAAACCTCGAATGTTCAGATATGATGCTGTTTAGATCTAATTGGATGCTACATATCGATTTCTAATTTATGATTAAATGCAACGTAATTCTATATTTAGTCACAAAACAAAATATGACAGATTTTGTGCTTTTTAATGATCTCCATGGCTTCAAGTAAAGAATGAAAATATTACTTTTTTGTTCTCGGTCGAAATACGCAAAGTTACCATATTTCTTCATTTCTTACTATTTAATATTTCTAAATGCATATACAATAGTTCTGATCTCATTATCATGGAACAAAAATACTTGAAAAGCTTTATAACAGAAAAAATGTTTATTGTATACTCTAGAGATTCTTTACAATATTTTATAACTTTGTTTAAGGAATACCGCGAAAGTCTTCATTCATTCGAAAACTAGAGGAACAGATCGGCCGCCCAGTGGGCCCACAGGGCGCTCCTAAAGTCCCGGAAATAAAGCCAATGACCGAGGAAGAGGAGCAAATGTATGAGGAACTGCAGGAATAAAAGCTGTGATAGGCTTGATTGATATTGAATATAAACAGTTTCTATTCCACCCACTAGTAATAAACTACGCCATGTTTATAACAATTCTAGGACAGTCACTAGGTTTCTGGAACGGGTCCAGGGAAGGGTTTGGAGGGGTACTTATCCCCTAAATCGGATTTTTTTTAGATGGGTACCATTTTGGTGGGTTCTTGAACATTCTAGAGTTTTTTTTTCAAAATATAAGGTAACAAAATCCAGCAGCCTTACTTTAAACAGATCAATGTTTTTTTTTTTTTCAAAATTATATTTTCAAATTTTTTTTTCTGAGGATGGTGCGATCGCACTCAACGCAACCCCCTTCCCCCATTCCGCCGGCCTTGAATCGGTTGTTTTATTGATCAGTTTAAACCTCTGTTAAGTGTTTTGTTACTGTTTGTTGTAAATGCTCAAGTACTTAAATATAAAAATATATATTGTATATATATTAACATATTTTTGACAACATATTTTTGAATTATTCTTCTTGCGATTTAAATTTTGTTTTATATGTAGAGAGTACTTTTAAAATGTTTATATACTTCATGTTTTATATGTTGGTATGTGCGTGTGTTTATGTGTTAGCTTGCAGGTACATGTGAGAAAAGTTCATGTTTATGTAACCTTACCTCATCATTTATCAGTAGATAATCAGATTCCCAGTATATAGTTTAAGACTGTGATACGACATATATTAACCGTTATACCTCTTTGATTGTTTTGTTAAGTAAGCATTACAGTTGATTTTAAATAATGGAGTATTAGTGTCTGTATTTCTACAATTACATTTACAGAATTGTTATGAAGGAGATTTCTCATCCATGGTTGCATGGATACACCCCCCCCCTTCACCCCCCCCCCCGACATATATATATATATATATATATATATATATATATATATATATATATATATATATATATATATATATATATACAAGAAGGACGTTTTAATTTATTCGTTTAATTACAAATTAGATTAGCTGCTTACTTTGTGAATGGCTGAAATAAATGTTCTCCAAAATTAGTATTATGAAGTTCTTCCTTGCATAATACATATGTTTTATGTTAAATAACGGTAATTCTATTGTAAAACTTTGAAGAGTGTTGTCATATTGTATGCAAAACTAGCAGCTGTAGAAATTATTATTTGTCATATCATTAAATGAGCATACATTTTAATCAAATGTGCGTATTTTTAAGGACTTTTATGTAAACATGTATATAATATATACTGTATATTGCCTTGGAGCATACTCTGGGAAGACGAACACTACAATTTTGCAGATGAACTTTCTGGTCTCCGGAAACAAGTATATCTGCGACAGAAGGCAGAAAAATTATAAGTCAATGTTTTTATTTTGCATCGTTCAATACCAAAGATACAGCATGTCTATTTTTATGATTAAACAATTTTAAAGTATCGGAGGTATTGCTGTTTTTTGATACACAAGAGGTTTTTGCACACGACAAATATGCCCCCATTTAATCCAATAAACAAACGATAAACCCTCAGTGACTGAATATTTATTATTGTTTTGCTATGATAAAACGTTGAATGTGAAAAACTTTCCTGTCATAACAATTAAGCTAAAATAAAGACTGCCCATTGAGATTCTCATATTCTGAAACTTTATCTAATGTTTAGACAGAATACGTCATAACTAACCAGTTAATCGAGTCTCTTTGGTGCATTCTGACGCTTGTTCCATAATGAATTTTCATGCAAATATTTTCAAGTGCACCATGTGACAATATCGAACATTTTCTAGATTCTTACTTAGAAAATCAAGACAGATAATTACTATTATTGCCCAAATAACCATCCCCGGTTAGGTTATGCATTTGGACATGGCGTGATAGAATTTGTCAGCACGAAAAGGATACTGACTTGGACATGTTTTCTTTGGCAGAAGCTAATTGAGATCTATTTACCCTTTGCATGCTGGTATAATGTCTGAAGTTTACGTCCATTAAGGTTTATTTCCTTCTACGGTTCTGGTGATAATCTGCTATGTTCAGTACCCTAGTATGTAGTTAGATTCAAGACCTTTTGAATTTACAACAGCTTGAGAATAGAAAATTAGAAAAATACAATGAATTTAAAAATAGATATTAGCTGTGTTTTGAAGTAAGCATACTTAATCCAAAATTTAAAAATTGCAGCTCTTATGGACATCTACGGAGGGGAAGGGGGCATAAATTTGCCAGTATTTACTATTTCAATAGAAAACAAAGTCCATCAAAAACGAATTATGACTTACAAAATTATACATGCAAATATTTGTTTGTTTGTTGTATTTTTATTTGATGTTTTTTCTGTCAAGAATTTCTGGTAGTTTGTGCCCCCGTCCCGTTTTAAATTGCTTCCAAGGAACCTGCAATGATATAGGTAGTAGATAAAATAAGGCCCGATAGCCTTCTGATTTTTCTTTCATATACAATATTAACAGGCATACATGTATATACATATCGTACTTGGAGCACTGCGGTCAGTAATGCTCAAATTAACAAGAAAAAATGGATCTTGGAAAAAGATAGTTTATAACAGATCTAAGCATATAAGTGGATAGATGGCTCTGTAATGCCGATCCTTAATGCAAGGACACAAAAATGGATAAAAAGATCAAGAATTAACTTTAAACAATTCGGTTAAATACCACTACTTCAAACGGTCAAGAACCACAGCGTGGACACCGAGCACAGCATATACCTTCAGAGTTTCCAACCGATGTGGACGTTCAATGTACGAGGCAGGGTGTATAGAATTATTATTGCTAGAGAGGTGAATAATTAGCTCTTACCCTTCAATTCTTTGTTCCGTCCCCATGCCATCATCAACAAATGAGATATATAATTAATTTAGAGATTTCGAAATCTGTATGGATGTTGCATATAATCAGGAAATTTCTAACAAATATGAGACATTAATTTTGTTATTTTTACGATTTTTTCTTTAATAATAAGAATGTTTACAGACCTGATAAGTTTTGGAAATATTAAAGAAGTCCTGTAGCTTTTTAGGTCATCTGAGTCACTCTGGTGACTAATTGCTATCTGTTTTTGTCCGTCGTCGTGCATTTTCAGCCTCTTCTCTGAAACCGCTGAACCAATTTCAACCAATTTTGGCATATAGCATCTATGGGTGATGGGAACAAAAATTATGAATTTCATGGTTCCTGCCCCCCCCCCCCGGGGGGCCTAAGGGAGGGGGCTAAAACCAATAAAATTAATCAGTGCAATCTTAAAACATCTTCTTTACTCCTGGACATCAAGCAGTCAAACTATTGGCATGATTGTAAAAAGCATTGAGCCCTCTACCAAAATTGTGAAATTCATGACCTCAGTCATGGGTTCCGGTGCTAGGACGGGGCTACAAGTATATAAATCATATAGTGAAAGTGCAATATTTCTTTCAAAATCTTCTCTGCGCCTTGGTATTAAACAAACTAACTAAGTACATAGTTATGATGAGCAAGGATGTCTCTGCAGAAATTGTGAATTTCATTGCATCTGGGTCAGGGGTTCTGGTGTTAGGGCGGGGCTCTATGGATTATATAGTGATAATGCAATAATTCTTTGAAGATCTTCTCTGCCCCTGGGTATTATTCAAACAAATGAAGAGCATGGTTATGACAAGCAAGGATGTCTATTCCTTTTACAGGTACTCTTAAATTGTTATAAAAATTTTAAACCTTGTTAAGAATATCCATGATGTCAAACCAACACTCTCCTATCATTGTACATTCTCTGTGAAGTTTAAACAGAAGTCAATAACAGAATAAATGCAAGTAACTTGATGGAATTATTCTTTGTCATCTGAACTTTTGAATCAATTAAGGAAGCTGTAAACAACAAAGAAAAAATGTTTTTGTTTTTTTAATTTGAGAAAATTGTATCATATAAATATGTACTTGCAGAGTTTATCTGGTTCATTTTTAACACATGTACATGCCATATTTCTGCAGTTAAAATGTTCAAAGACAATGAAGTACTGGTGAACAAAAATCACTGTTATTTACTTATATTAAGAAAGAAAAAAAAAATGTTTTTTCATTACTTTTAAATTTGGTTGGTCATATATAATGCTAAGAATACTTTAATCTGTTCCAAATTGTGTCATTTATTGTAGATAAATTTCCGTTTAACATTTTACGTAAAAGTCAGGTCACTCTAGCTGCATTAAACTACCGTGGAATTAGAACTCTTCAGTGAGTAGTGTTTAGAGCTTCCTTAACATCAAGTATTCATTTAAAGTGCATTTATCCTAGGAAATGCATTACGTCAACTGTTCTATCAGCCCATCATCTCAAAATCGGAATGTGAATTGTACAATTTTCACTGGTCTTTCTCGAATTTCCCCATTTCGCACGCTGTTTCTACAGATATATTTTTAAGAGTCAATTCAAACCTTTGAAAAACAGTTTATACATCAAATGTATTGAATTTGAAATAGAAGTAATTGCCACATTGATAATGATACCACCCCCTCAATACTGTTCAGTTAGTATGGCCACTAATGGATTGCTGGGTATTCAATCCTTGCACCAAGTGTCTGGTTTCTGTTGTGATTAATCTATCGATGTTTTCCCCCCAAAGTAGCACGAGGGACAGTCCCTAATGGCTGTTCACATTATGTACTCGCGCCGATATTCGTAATTTCTGACCTCACTGACAGTCGTTGAATATGCGTGTCGTCTGATGGGTCACCTCAGCGGCCGATGGAGATGATCGGACATTCTGATTGGTCGATGACAGTATAATAATACTCCAATGATTCATTGTGACAAAACCTTAACAAGGAATATACTTGAGAGGATACACTTTGAAGCCGGTAAGCTGACTTTTTTTGTTTAAATAAGAATTTTACCTTTTTTTTTAACTATCACGTTGAAATAATATACCTTCCTCTTATTATAAGGTTTGAATTTACTTGATAAATTTAATTAATAAATTCAAAATTGTCAGAGTTATTCCAAAATATAATTTAAACAGAGAAAATGTTCTCTTTTTAATGTTTCCCAGATCAGACATTTTGAACTAATTCTGAAGACAAAATAGTTCAGATGGAATACAAGTGAATATATTCCTAAGCATTTTTTTCATCAAATCAACTATGTGTTTGAGTTTTGTGAATTTGTAACAATCATACAAATCGATAAAGAATCGCCAATGATGAGACTTTGAATCAATCGGGGTAAGATGCCCATCGTGAAATAACTCAATGTGATAGTAAATACAGTATCAAAATTTATATATCTTGTCTACAAGTTCGTGGCTTGTCGTAACCTTTAATGCCAGCAAAATAACCTGATTAAACTGTAACTTTGGCTAAACTTAAGGAAGGTCTAGACACTGCTCACTGAAGAGTTCTATTTTATTCAGTTAGAGTGATTTGCCCTTTGATGTAAAATTCTACAGTAACTGACACAATTTGAAAGAGATTTAACCAACCTTAACATTTATTACACCAAGATAAACTTGTTCAAACGTTATTCATATACATGTACCTGTATTTTCCCAAGGGAAGAAGAAAACAGTTATTTCTGCTTACTAATGCTTCATTGTCTTTGTACATTTTCCTAGAGAAATGTGGCAGGTAACCTACGTTGAAATGATTTTTAAAATATACAGCTTTATATGATACTTTTTCTTCAAAGCAAAAAGAGAGAGCAATTTTAATTAGTCTTGAGAGCTTATTTTAACACAGAGAATAGGAAGAGTGATAATTTATAATCACAACAAGAAAATATGAGGTGTATTTGAAAATAATATTTAGAGTCATACCCATTAAATTTATATTAGAAAACTTAATAAAGCCTTACTTCCTACGTCAACATATCACAATGTAATAGGTACTTGTAAAAAAAAAAAAGAAAAGAAAAAAAAGAATATATATCCATTAATAAGAGTTATCTTTCTAAAAAATACTTCTTTTCCATAGATAAGTAATACTAATAAAAATTCTTTATATGGTTACATGATGCATTAAAGCATTTATAAAATGGTTCATGAAAAGAAATATAACACTTATTCAATTTGTAAGGGTTTTAAAATTGTATGCAAAAAAAGTTTTATGTCAAAGATAATAAAACAATTTGAAAAAATATAGGCAAAAGGAATAGAAGTCAGTGATTCTATCATAATGTCGGATTTGATTGCATTGACTAATCAAAAGTTTTCATTATCAAACTCTGGTATTAGATATGAATAGTATTAGGATTATTTTTTTTTTTTACATGAAAAGATATTTCTCTTATATCAGAGGGTCGGTTCCATTAAGGTGATACGGTATCGAACGCCAACATCAAATAAAGTTATTTGTACCTTCCCATAACTTGTATACTACACAAACGATGCAAATAAAGCAGGATTTCAAGCATGTAAATATAGAGCTATTTACTTTATTTTATAATCGGAAAATTTATTTTTGTTTACCACAACCTAGGTTAAGTTAAAGCGAAATTACTGAAGATTTTAATGATGTAGGCCTACTTGGTATACAAACAAAATTAGAACTAATACTGTGGAAAGCCTGTGAAACTTAACGTTTTACTGTTGAATAGGCGATTTTTACCTATAATAGTCTAAAAACCATTAGAATCGTTCACATTTAAATGTTAATTTGAACTAAAGAGGATAAATACCATCAACCAAGTTCTAGCGCTCTAAATATTAAAATGTCCTCCTTCTAAGGAACTCTGAAAAGCTCCGAGTAGCATATTCAGTTGCACTTTGCTTCGTGATTCATGTGATGAAGTAAATGAATATGTAACCCCCCCCCCCCCCTCATCTTAAGCATTTACATGTAACACGTGACCAAAATGAAGTGTATGTAATTTAAACCTCTCTTGCCGTCAGTAAGAGCATTTAATTTTTATTACAATCAGACAGTAGAAACATGAACAGTCAGACAAGTATGAATGGAAACTAATTGAATCCCCTGGACGAACCAAAGATCGAAGTGTATATATATATTGTATTGCCATGTCCTCAATAACGTTGTGAAGAATTGCAGTGCACTTAGAGGGATATAGCGATTAGGGTTCTTAATTAGCCACTGTCTCCTCAGGCTACTCTTGTCTGATCTCAATTGTCAATTATTAATGGAGACTCTGGACGACTGACCTATCCTATATATTTGAAGTACCCGATTCATTTTCTGTATTAATAATCGACAGTGTCTATTCAAATTATTACGCGAAGGGAATTTCCAATGGTATTGAAAAATCTTCCTCGTTCAATGCGGTTGCCAGTTTTCTTGCGTATGCAGCTCTATCATTTTGAAAATGGGTTTTAAGCAGTACATATTTGGTAGTTCATTTAAAAATGGGGAAAAAATCATAAGAATAAAGACAGGGCAGTTAGATCACCGCCCCATAAGGATTGAGATTAAAACTGACAAGGATAGATCACCGTCTTAATTTTTTTTTTATCTAGATCAAACCTTTTTGTAGGAAGTTTTTATTGAAAATTAAATTGTCTCCCCCTAGGTCCTTATCCTTGGACCCGGAAGACATGAATTTTAAAACTTTTGTAGCGGGACAGCTGCTCAATTTATCATGAAAACGAAAGGTGAGGGTAATAAAGGAATAATTTATCAGTGGCTAGAGGACACTTTAGATATAGGATACATTAGAGTTAGGATACATTAGATATAGGATAAATTACATCTTGGATACATTAGATAAAGGATGATCTGACTTTGGGTGGCATGGCATGTTTCATGTTTACAGATTGTATGCTTGTTATCATGCCAGTATCAGCATGAACAACATATCATTCCCCACAGAAAGGGCTTAATGTTTTACTCTCTCTCTCTCTATATATATATATGAAACCTCTTTAAAACCCTGCTACATATGAACAACAAACATTGTCGAATTCAAGGACAAGTGCCCTAAAGCAGAGGAGATTCCTGTTTCTTTAATTCCAGGCCCCGTGGCAAGGAAAAGAACACAAATGGGGTGTTAAATTTTACCGAGTTACACATTGTATAGTATTTTAATCGTTTGTGCAGGAAATGTCCCTTTATAACACTAGGTTACTTCGTGGCGCTTTTTTATTTGAAAGGAATATTTTGAATAATTCTTCTCGTTGAAGTTGCCCCGGTTTAATTACAAGCTTTTACCTGTTCTTATAGATTTTGGATACTCGGTATTAGGATATAAAGTGCTTTTAAAATTATGCTTGAAGTTACAAGATTGTAATCATTATTACGTTCAAAACAAATGAAAAATTAATCAAATAGTAACTGTTCTCTGCTTCAGTAGAACATTTTAAAAAGCTATTTTGTAAAATAACAGCCCTTGGAAATTTAACCTCCAAAATTGCATGTATCACAGTAACTGCTTTGACATCAAATGTTCGATACTTAAAAATCATAGACTTGGGGATGAAATTTCAACAAAGTGGCTAATTACAGGCGGAATGAAGACAGAGATGCGAGGTGCAATCACACGACAAATTCATTGGCCAAACGATACTGAAGGTGCTAGCTACTGTTAACAATTTGCTCAACAATCAATTCGCATTAAAGTTTCTGACAGCTTGGAAGGGAAAATTTCCCGGGAGTATCCCTTTATATACACAATCAATATGACCGAGATTTACATCTAAAATTATGTCCAAATTGTGTTACTTTCCAGATTTCTGCTGACTATGTGGAGGAGCTTACAGATTCTGATATTTGTGGTTCTAGTGTCCATGACATACGCTGTATACTTTGACGACTCACCAAGCTATGCTCCGTCGTACGCCCAGAACCCCTGTATGCTGTGTCTGTTCACGCACAAACGAGAATACTGCGAGATTTGTAAATACGAGGAAGACAATGGTGACGTGTACACAAACAAAAGATCAGATTATTACCAGAGAAGAATCAGAGGGCGGGGATATTATTGCCTTTGTTGTGCACGATCTAGATTAACAAACTCTGGGTGCTGCACAATGTGCAGTAGCGAAGTATAAAAATGTGTTTAAAAAAAGGTTATGCAAATTTCACTTTCCTTTTAATATTCGCTTGTACATTCTTCCTACGCAAATTCATGTCAAATATAACACAACGTTCTTAACTGCAATTAATCTATAAAATTGAAATATGGTCTTCTTGTTGTATTTATTGGTGAAAAATAAGAAAAATAAATAATCTTTGGCACTTCTTAATTAAAAAATAGACACTGACATCAAATCTCAGATTACATATAAAAAACGAATAAATAAAAAAAATGTCTATTTGTCAAGTACATTGCTCCACCATGATATATTCTTATTTACACATGAACCATCCGAGCGCCACCATGCGTCTATATCATCGTACCAAATAGAGGGAAGTGCTTGTTCGTGTAACAAAGAACACACACGACACCAGGGTTTGGATGCCACGAAATCACCATAAGATTTCCATCGAAAATACTCATTGTACAAGTCATCATTTTTATCAAGTTTTAGAAGATATTCAGCTAAATCTTTAGGTGTTTCAAAGTCCTCCACATCAATGTAGGAATGAGCTGGCAGTGCACTTTTGTATTCCGAGGGAGCAGCACCGAGAACTACGGGAATGACGTCATTTCTGTATAAAGATATAAACATGTGAAGAATAACATATATTGTAGGGGATAAATTACATAGCTTATTTCTTTTATTGCTCCAGATTTGGTTTCGGCACCTTTCGTGTGGAAATTTCACGAATAGGTTTCTATCATTTTATTCCCCCAAAATCTGAAGTTTGTAACAATTCGCCCAAATGACAAATTGTGGTTTGATAAGGTTTTTAGAAAAATAATAAGAACTTAAAATCATTTTGCAATAAACCATTTACAATTTAACAAAAGGTGACTAAGAATGCTCACGTTATTAAATTAAAAATAAAGTTAACAATTAAAAAAATTCTCTAATTAATATTTTAATATATATTGTAGAATACTTTTTAAATGATTCTAATAAAACCAACTATTAACATACATTGGAAATGAACGAAATATATTTTTTTCAGACTAAACCTTCTAAAGAAATATCCCACTACAATATTCTTCTGTAAACAGTAAACGTTTTCTGATTTGGATAGATCGAAACGCTGCAAAACGTTTCCGACATGTTTCTATTATGCAACGAAACTTTGAAAAATATTTTTGTCAAGGAAAACTAAGTTTATGACATAATATCTCTTTTTCAGTTGTTTTGAACATATTTTATTGACAATATATGAAGAGGATTGGACACAAGGTCCTATAACTTTGGTAGTTCCCTTCCTGTACATGAAATCTGAATTTTTTTTTTTACAACCTTTACAATTCAATTCTTTACTGTTGTGCAACTCATCAGGATATCAAAAATTGTTCACAAATGTGCACATATTATAAAATAATGAGTGAGTGGAAAGTACAATAGAAATGATCACATTATATAAGCTGTACAAATCATTATAGAAGGGAATTCTCAGAAATGAACGGAACAGAATTAATCTCAAAATATCTGATAATGAAGCCTGAAAATAGGAAATGCTAGAAGTAGTTTTGAAAGAAAAAAAATAGTGAACCTATTTATTTTAGGAATGACTCTAATTCTTGGCCAAATTATTCGAGTATGACCTGGTTTGGGTCAGTTTACGCTTTACAATCCGCGAAGCGGATTATAAAACAACGTAAACTGACCCAAACCAGGTTATACTCGAATAATTTAGCCAAGAATTAGAGTCATTCCTTATAATTTAATTTTAAAATCATTAAATAACTATGGGTGTAAAATTTCATTGCTTTTTATTAGTTCAAATTTGCCGCTCAATAATACAACCGTAGTAACGGAAGTGATGGGAAGCGAGGGGAGGTAAAAACTGATACATAGGCCTAGCAGCCTTGTTGTTTGTTTACACGTGGTAAGATCGAATTATTATTTGAAGTTAAATTTACATTTATTAAATCTGGAATTTTCCATGAATCCCGAGGACTGGAAATGAGAGGATTGTATGGATACAGATGATTCAGCTGGTTGTCAGGGGGGGGGGGGGGTGTCCCCATACCAAACCAGGTTATACAGAAATAATTTGTGTTCTTTTTTGGATATTAACCCAGTTTTGCAAAATTTTACCCAACTTTAACCTTTGTCGTAACTTTTGAACAATTGGTGCTAGGGCTTTCATACTTCACATGTGTATTCTTATGACAAGACCTTTCTTTGGGTACCATCATATTTGACTTTGACCTTGGAGTTTGATCCAGTTTTGCAAATTTTTACGGAACTTTAACCTTGGCCATAACTTTTGAACAACTGGTGCTATGGCTTTCATACTTCACATATGTAATACTTGTGACAAGACCTTCCTTTGGATACCAACAACTTTGACCCTTTGACTTTGGAGATTGACCTACTTTTTACTTACTGTGAGAAATCCTTCTTTTGGATACCAACAATTAAAATCCATTGACCTTGACCTTGGGGTTTGACGTACTTTTGAAAAACTTTAACCTTGGCCATGACTTTTGAACGATTGGTGCTACAGTTTTCATATTTCTCATGTGTATTTCTTGTTAGAAGGCCTTTTCTTGGGCACCATTAATTTTGACCATTTGACCTTGACCTTGATGTTTGACTTACTTTTGCAAAACTTTAACTTTTTCCATATCTATTCAATGATAGCTGCTAGGGCTTTCATATTTCACAGGTATATTTCTCGAGACAAGACCTTACTTTGGGTACCAACATAATTGATTTGCATTTAAGAAAGTTTAACCTTTGCTATACGTTCCCATACGGGGGCATCGGTGTTTCACAAACACATCTTGTTTATGTAAGAGATACGCTTTAACTGTTTACCAGTCACGGGTCACTGACTTGCATGTAGCTGCAAATGGCCTCAGGTGATGGATTAAAACAGGTACATGTATATGTCATGAAAAGAAATGACAAATACAAGCGTTTGGTATCGTGTATTTAGATGAAAAAATGTGCAGTAATTAATATGTTTGAAATCAAATACATAAGATACATACATTGTCACTGCGTAAATGGATAATACGTTGTATAATGATGATAGCGTAGATTAAATATTGTATAAGCAGTCTGTAAAAAATACACGAAAAAAAATTCAACGAGTACTCGACTATCGTTCGACTTAAACGTCCGACTATTCGACTAATCTGCCCGAGTAAATTGACATCCGTTGTTCTTAGCAGATACACCCGGATCCAGAAATTTCTGAAAGGGGGATGTCATTTTATACTTTCTAAAAATCGTTTCAAAGAAAATGGTTCCCATCAGCCACGAACTTAAAATCACTTGACTCGACACTAAAAATTTAATGTTTCGGCGGTGGGATACGAGGTTTATGATTTTTAAAAAAAATAGTTTGTTGATTAGCTGCAAATCCGCCGTCATCAGTATAATGAAGGAGCCTATTTTCACATCTTTTGTACAGGTTTAATTAGCGAGGAGGTGAGGATATCACCTATAGATTCTTATTGCGTTTACAAATTAGTAATTTTTTTTTTCACTGTAAAAGCTGTGTCCCTTTAGAAATTATCAAGGATTTCTTGTATATTTTGAATTTTTTTTTCATTTTTACTATAACCCCTCCTTATGAGATTCAATTGAAATTCATTTAAATCATTTAAAAACTGAAGGAATATGAGCACTACTAAGATCCAAATATTGGAAAGCTTTAATTGGTGGGTTTAATGTAGGTTTAAAAATCAAGGATTCGATTCATGTTCGTATACCGTAGTCATTATCTAGGAAATGTAAACTTTTCTGGGACATTCATATGTGAATCTAATTAAGTAATGAGTGATGAGCATTGGTCTTAGCCAAAAGATAATGGATCTATTTCTCATTTCCATGAAAGATAAATCCATCGTCGTTATAGCGAACATGATACTAGTACGTTACTTTTCTTTTTCCTGGAAATTTGTCTAATATTTCATTGGTAATTTGATGTACGCGAATATTGCATACAGAGTGAGAACCATGATAAGACTCCATGCACATCCAGTGCTTTGTTTGTAAATAAAGTACCTACACACGTTATTGTTGACAATTCTATCATGTTCTGTCATGCGGTATCATATCAGACTTTATTGTGTTTTGCGTTTATTGTGCGCCTTCGGAAGGTATTTTACCGCTTTTTTTTTTTACCAAAAAGATCGAGATATTCCTAGGTATATAAACGGATTAAGAAAAAGAAATAAAACATTTGAATGAACAATTGCATTATAAGACTAATCAATTTTGAGAAAAGAACACTAAATGGAGGGAACTGATTATGTCCATATATCATGTATTTTGTGCAAATGTGAAATGAGTGAAGAATTAAAATCAGGAAAAAATAAAGTTGAAATTTTTGCTAAAGGATTACTTCCTTGTTGCTGAGGCCTAAAATATACGCTACATCAAATAAAAAAGGGTTTTTTATCTTGCAAACCGATATATCTACATATAGAAATAAATGTTTTATATGTTATTTTAACCGAGCCGATATCAAGAAAGTTTTGAAAAATCACTAAGAATTCTATTCCGTGTGTACTTGGGATAAATAGGAATTCTGAAAAGGCTTGATAAAACATAAAAAATGTCGGATAAATCTCAAACTCATCATTTTAAGTCTAGTTTAAATCTTACTCAATTTATTAACACTAAAAATCCTCGGTTTTTTGACCCGATTTGTCGAACCATTAATTCAAGCTCTCCGTTTAGTTATTTCAAAAATTATCTAATGTTCTACAGCTAGGTTAACTTATGTGTTAGCTAACGTCACTGTTATATGAGCAACACCAAAACTAAAATAATAAATTAAGTACTGGATGCTTGAAAATTCGCATATTGTTAAGTAAATGATGAATTGCAAACACTTTAGACTTTCCTTTTGACTTTCTAAATACCAGAGAAATAAATAACATTATTAATGCCTCTGCTAAAGATACTTAAAATGGATAAAATAATTCAGGACATATTTAGAAAATAAATTTAACTTACGTATAAGCAGTCATAATTTTCTCAGTCATGTAGTCTTTGCATTTCGTATTTTCAAATGCCAAGTAGAATTTATAATCCGTCTTCACCATTGTTGTACACCATGGTTTACTTTTAGGACACTTCAACTCACCACAACGACCATATATGTCTACAGATATATACTTCTGTACTTCCCTGGCGTACTTCATTCGGCCGCTACTCTCTCTATTACAATTACTGACAAACCACACTACCTTCTTCTGTTTACCTTCAGCGTAATTTTTTCTTGTCAAAGAAACTTTTTCTGGAAAAACTTTATATTTGAAATAAGGAGTAACGATGACGGAATCCGTTCGATATGTCATGGTCCAATTGACAAGTCCATGATAGTTCTGAAGGCGTCCTGTATTTGGAGGAGACTCTATGGCAGACACAATCCATATCTGATTTGGGGAGGCCTTACGAAAAGGGGGACGAGTACGAATTTGATTCGGATTTCCGAACACTACGGCATCAGCCGAACTCGCCATTTTCTTGTCATACGTAAAGTGACATCGATTTACTAAACACTCTTCCATTAGAAATGAACTTTGACCCTCGGGATGACCCCATCCCCTTTTACCCCCAAACATGTAGATTGTTTTAAAGGCACTTCTGTTTGAATATTGAATGGGAATATGACTCATCTGCTCAAAAATCCTATCATTGACAGGATCATCAATATTTGGTAAAAGTTTTTCGATTGTAGATGTTTTAATTATTTTTGGTGAAAAATTCAAAGTACTCTGTCGTAACATTCTTTTTTCCCTTGTAAAATTTCGGCTGTTGTACATTTCATTTCTAAAATAAATCACGTGATCTGTGACAATCTTTCTGCTTTTTTCAACATGATCTAAAGATGCAACCGAATTTATCTCTGTTATGATGAATTTACCATTCCGGAATTCTCCGAATCCAATAGAATCTCTTGATGATTGCACAGAAACTTCATCACCTTTATAATTCGAGTTCTCCAGATAAACCAAAGCTTTATACAACAAAACCACTTTACAAACTGTGATGAACAGTGCAATCAAGATGATATTCCTCTTTGATACACAGCCCATAGCTGGTTTGTTTATTATGAAATTAAGATCGAGAGAAGTGTTCTTCTGGTCCATCATCACTTCCTGGTCGTTTTAAACCCGGGGCCTCGGGGCAAAAATCTACCTGATTAACACAGCAATGTGCCTCCGGTAAGGATGTGTCTATTTTGATGTATTTTATGACACAGCATTCAACACTGAGAAGATAAGCTTTTTAAATATATAAATATTTACAGTTGTCTACTCTCCAAATCGTGTATTTACTTTGATGCAAAGTCGGGTAATTATTTTTGATATTTAAAGTTAAAACAATATTGATTCTCCCAAATTGTTGTCGATAAAACAAAGAAACAATCTGTAAATAAATATTTTATTAATAGATTGATATTCAGATTGTGGCTTTTTGTACATACATGGATAACATTTTATATTTATTTGTTTCATCATAATCACAATGAAGTGACAACATGCATGCAGCTCTAGTTTTAGGGTATAAACAATGATAAATTCCATTTTTCAGTTTTGTGAATTCTTAGTTCATACTGAAAGAAAAAAAAATTAAAAACTGTCAAACAGATTATCTTTTCTTATAAACTTTTATTCAACATATCTTTTTTACATATTATTATCAAAGTTATTCATTACATGTATATAACGCAAATTTACACGTTTAGAAATTTGACCACTATATATACTATTTTGTAAGTATTTTGATACCATGCCATTAACATAAATGAAAAGATGATTATTTATTTTACAATTTAGATTACACACTATTAAAAAATTAGTAATCATTTATTGGACATTTGAAAGTACACTGTGCTCGAAATACAATATTCACTACGCCATTTACAGTACATATGTATGTGAATTTAAAATTTCGGAGCTGGCATTTTCCAGTACCTTGTGCCCTGCTTTGTAACTGACATGACACTTCCGTTATTGTCTGAATCTTCTAAAAGTTTTATGAAAGCATCCGATACTTCTTCCACCCTAAAAAAGAACAAAGTGTCATGTATATTGTAAAAATTCCTTGTACAATCTCAGTATCAGAAAAAGTTACATCTGTACTGATGTACGTGTATGTGAAATATCCTTAAATAATAATACGTAATCTTACCTCATCATACCAATAGTCTTCATGGACTTCTGAACCAGTTCCAGGTCCTTCGACGACTCGGGCTGGTAATCCAGGATGTCCGTTTTAGCAAATGAGGGACATAGACAGAGAAGGCGAACACCATTCTTTTCAACTTCTGGATGAATCTTATGTAAAAAGAATGAATATTGTGTTTATATGGTGTCATAATCAGTAAAACTAAAAATAAGGTTTGAAGAATAATTTTGCCTTTTTTCCCCTTATTCTACAAGGTACTAGTAGGTAATATCCTCTAATCGTATTTTAAAATTTACATATGGGAAATGATATCATTTTGATTAGAATCTAGTAAATTTAGATATTCTAAAAAAAAAAGTGGATAGGGGCATCCATCATACCGCCCAGCTTCTTGTGTATCCAACCACACCATGTTTACTGGCACAATAGACGGGGGAGAACTCTGCTGGGTAAATACCTACAATCAACAGAGAAAAACGTCACTTCCGTTAAGTCCTACACACCAATGATAAATATAGCCTGAATCTACATGCTATTAAGTAATCATAATTTCATCAGTAATATACCTTCACAGAGTACTAATAATTATTTTCTTCAGTTCGATCTACCTGCCATCGACGAAACATTGACTATCGTGCCCCCAGTACCGCCTAGATCTTTCCTCATATATCTAAGGCCAAGAAGAGTTCCTCTGATGACCCCAGCCTGAACAAGTGCACAAATTATTGAAATTAAAGAATTTACTTCAAATACAAATTAGAAGTATTCAAAATTTGCTGATCTGAAACAAGTATATTGGTAGTTTATTAATACTCAAAATTAGTTTTGAAATTTCAAGCATGTTGCTCAGTATATTTGATTGTTGTTTTTTTTTAATTAGCTGTAGATGTGTAGCTCACTGATTTTAAAAAAAAAATATTTGGGATAGACGCCCAGTCATAGATCCAAATATTTTTCAGACTAGCAAGCTACAGATCTATAAATTAATCTAAATTTTAAAGAACACTGGTGTAAAATGTATGTGGTATTAAAACTACATGTATAATCAAGGAGAGTCAGAATAAAAATACAAAAAAAAAGCAAAACTTATATCATTGTCAATAACTTTGGCCTCTTAAATGTACAGACATACATTGCAGAGAGGAGGTAGGAATACATGTTCAGTGATGTTTGCAGTGTAAGCAAATCGAACACACCCAGTATAAAGTAAACAAAAATATCTGGGCACACACAAGCCCAAGTGTTTTATGTAAGATCATTAAGGATGCCGTCGTCATTGAAACCATGGAAAGTTTAATGTTATATTTTGATAAGAAAAAAAAGTGTGGCAAAGCTGGATGCCGAATTCGGTACCCTTACCACGTAAGACGGTACGGTACTCTCCACACCAAGCTACCAAGACCGACCGACATCGAAATATATAACAAATTATTCATGTATATTTATCTAATTAAAACCTTTCTAACAGTCTGTATCATATATAGACAAAAATAATTAAAACGAAAATTTAAAGCAGTGAATTTTAAGTAGGTCAATATCCTCATGTCTGTATATTTCTTAAAAGTTGTGTACTTCGGTCCTTTCGGGGTCTCGGTTTCATTACTTAAATTAAGGAATATATACTCTGACATTAACCTATACATATTTAAAGTTTTCTTTACCAGGTTGATATCTAAGCATCTCTCCCAGTTCCGCTCATCAACCACTCCGGCATTGTTCACCACAATGTCTATCTGATTAAAGACTGCTTTCGCTCGCTTGAAAGTTTCTAAATGACAAAGAATCTAAATAATTGTTTACATCTCTTTATAGTACAGATACTCATTATATATATATATATATATATATATATATATATATATATATATATATATATATATATATATATATATATATATATATATATATATATATATATATTAAAATTTATTGTTGGATATCTATATACCTTCAAAATCAAGTTCCTTCGTGACGTCACACTTGGCAGACACTACGTAATTTTCTCCATAGATATCCTGGAATTCTCTGACAGTTGCTTGCAATTTTTCTTCATTGATGTCAGCAACACAAACCTATTTCATATTAAGGATATATTGAATGTGTTGATTATGCTGAGGTGTCAGTCATTTTTTATGGAACCCCTTTGGTTTTATCTAACAAAATAATTGCAGTGTTTGTACCCACAAACCCCATTACCTATTCACATTTCGACTTAATTTTTGTTGTTTTAACAGTCTTCTCAAAAATAACAAGAAAGTTTAATTCCAGATCATATGTTTCAGAGAAAGAAATTTTTCATTCATTGTCTATGAAAAATCCCAAGAAGTCTGGTTTCCCGCCATATTTTCAGTGCCTTATATCTCAAAAAGTTTTTTCTTTAATTTTTCATTTTGTTTCAAATAATGAATACATCTAATTTATTTACATGTCATTGTCAACATTTAAAAGTTAAATGCAAGTTATCTCAGCAGAATACATCCTTAAGTTGCATCCTTACATTCTACCATATTGAAGGACATCTAATGTCGTGTTCTTAATTACATGGATTTACCTAATGAATACACGTGCAAGAACGCACGGATTCTTACAATTTCTCTTTCCAATTTTATCGCATAAAATGTCATAAAAAGTCTTTTTAAACTTTGCAATTTGAAGGATGTAAATTATAATTGCATATTAACCTAAATCTTAAAACTGCAATTGAAATCCTGGCAGAGAATCATATATTTTCTATATCATGAATGTTTATTCACCAATCAAGGGCCCTCAGGGGGCATATACAATTATTTCAGAATGATTACATATAAATAGTATTAAAGTATATTGTAATAAGAAAGAATTTAAATCATATCTATTATGAGGGTACAGATGAAAGATGTACAATACCACGAGTAGGATACTCATGAAAATGCAAGATTTAGAAAACATAATCACAATAGTCTGAAACTGGATCAAAAATATTGAGTAGGAAGAAAACTGAAGGAAGATAAAGAAATTGACAATAATAGCAGTATGCTAATACATGTATATAGTGTGGCTTGAATACAGAGGGCACCGGGGGACGATGCCTCTGCATATGCTACAGCTCATTGTCCATATGCCTTATTAGTCCGACCCATTCCAATTGGTGGTAAATATATCTCAAGAAGATGTTTTAGAAAAAAAATTGTTAATTATAGAGTAAACTTTGCAGCTTACTTAAAATACTCTTACCTTGCACTGTTTCTGTAACAGTGCTGAAGCAAACGATTTTCCCAGACCCTGAGCCGCACCTGTAATTAGTGCTACTTTACCTGTAAACATCCTAAATTTTGATCGGGATCAGGTGGTCGTTCAAGATTATAAAGGGGCGAGGCATTTAAAAATAAATATCTTATATTCATAATATTGACTAAGGTTGTGTGTATGTTGACCCGACATAGCGCTTCGATCTGAGCGAAACGTTAACAAGCCCCGTCAAGCAGCTTAGTCTAGTTGCAAGCCAAATATTATTGCCATATAGGCTCTGCTGAAATTTTTTAAAGAAACTACAGCCGACGAGGAAAACTTTTGCAGTCAAACTACAACTTTAAGGGGAAAATGGGGATTCCTGATTGTTGTTTAACGCTGAGTCGGCAGTATAACTATTTCAGCCATATTTCGGCGGTATATCCCACAGTATCCCATAAATAAATACGTAGGATTAGAGAGTTAGTATTAGGGTTAAGGTTAGACTATGGGCTAGGGTTAGGGTTAGATTTAGGGTTAGGTCTAGATTTAGGGATAGGACTAGATTTAGGGTTAGGGTAATGAGGCTAGAAAAAAAGCAGGAAAACAATGCATATCACTTTTAAAATTTGACCTAACACTTTCAACCAGGTATACCTTATCAAATATCCCTGTGTAAAAAGCAGCACTTGGCTGTTCCAGAAATTTCCAAAGAGGGCAATGATAAGCAAAGAAAAACAAAAAATTGTCCAAACTCGAAACTCCCATTGTGTGTGTGTGCGGGTGCAGGAGGATTTCAAACTTTACGATGAGATGATGAGATATTTTTGTATGCCCCCGTAATCGAAGATTCGAGGGTATATAGTTTTTGCCCAGTCCGTCCGTCTGTCTGTCCGCAAAAACTTTAACATTGCCCATAACTTTTGACTGGTTGGCTATGACTTTCATATTTCACCTCTGTATTCCTTGTGACAAGACCTTTCTTTGGGTACCATCATATTTGACCTTTTTGACCTTGACCTTAATGTTTGACCCAGCTTTGCAAAACTTAAACCGACTTTAACCTTGGCCATAACTTTTGAACAATTGGTGATAGGGCTTTCATACTTCACATGTATCATCCTTGTGAGAAGACCTTCCATTGGATACCAACAGCTTTGACCTTTTGACCTTGACCTTGAAGTTTGACTTACTTTTGAAAAACTTTGACCTTGGCCATAACTTTTGAACGGTTGGAGCTAGGGTTTTCATACTTCATATTATGTAACCCTAGTGACAAGACCTTTCCTTGGATTCCAAGAACTTTGACCCTTTGACCTTGACCTAGGAGTATGTCCTACTTTTTGAAAACTTTCACCTTAGCCATAACTTTTGAACGGTTAGTGCCAGGACATTCATACTTCAAATGTATAATTCTTGTGACAATATCTTCCTTTGGATACCAACAACTTTGATCCTTTGACCTTGACCTGGGAGTTTGAACTACTTTTGGAAAACTTTAACCTTGGCCATAACTTTATAATCGTTGGAGCTAGGGCTTTCCTATTTCGCATGTGTATTTTTTGTTACAACGGAGAAGGACCAGATTATGAGGGAGCTATAGAATTCCATTTATGTGCAAAAGCAAATGAAGTAATTTTGTTCTATGCTTTGAGAATGATGTGTTTTAATGCAATACTATTTCCATAATTGTTAGACTTTAATAGTCACTACATTAACTAAAGCTTTGGAAGTTCGTATTTATTTTCATAATTTAAAAAACTAAGTTACCATAATTATTAAATAATAGACAAAATATATAATTTTATATGTATGCTACCATTTTAATCAAAGCATATCAAAGTTATTTACTTCATACTAAGCATGAAATATATGGCAATAAAGAACAGTATTCAAGCTCAAAGGTCCATTAAACAATACAAATCAGGAGCAGAGCAAACAAGAACCTCTAAAATATCAGAGGTGGGATAAGGTGCCATGGAGGAGTGAGTATCCTCTGCCGAACGGTCACACCCGCCGTGTGCTCTTTGTCATAATCGGGAAATAACGGAAAAATCCGCCGAAATTCAGTGTGTAAATAATGGCTTACCAATTAGTATGAAAAACGTCATTTGACTTAATGATAGATTGTATTTGCTGACAATGTCATTGTATCGATCGTAGTACTTACGAAATGATGACTTTAAACGAGACTGACGATATTTCATCAACTTGTTTGTCAATAACCTATCTCGTTTTCGAAAATGGTCATACGTAGAGCATACTCTTGCTTATCGAATCAACTGAGAGACATTAACGCCGTATGTAGGTGATGAAGGTATATTGCTACATAAGTAAGGGAAGTTGACGATTGGAAAGTTAATATCATCACGTTTATCATGAAGCTTTGTTGTTAGATTACCATTAACGTCTTCTTCTAGTAAAATAACCAAATATGAAACAGATGTATCAGACTCTGTATTATTTTTATTTTAGGCTCACTGGGATACACGTATATCGTATCGACATAAGAATGGAAATAACCATTGTTAATTGACAATACGTCGTCGATATATCTAAATGTCGTGTTGAAGGCCACAGCAAGTGTTTTCCTCTGTTCACGTATAAAATTTTGAACAAATTCTGCTTCAAATGAATACAAAAATAGGTTTGCTAATAACGGGGCGCAATTCTGTATGATCCGGTATCACTTTTAACACGAACATTTAATGAAGTGGTTTAAACACATTGTTGCTAGTCAATTGCAATATTGCAAAAGAAGCTATTTTCAAAATTCAAACTAAAAGAAGTTATATCTTAAAGTGATTAAACTTATCAAATAAGCAACTACATTACATGCAGCGAAAAATATAAAACCCTGTTCTTATTAAACAAACTGATTACCTCTAGAGGTTATAATACGGGGATTCAGAATTATTATTGATATCTTCAATCACGCTTGATCTGTTGGTGCAATAGGTATTGGAGCATAAGCCTTCAGTCCTGGATACTGCGGTGGATATGATGTAGGAGGATCTACTGTCCGATCGTACTCATAATCATTTTCAAAACAATGAACTGATGTTCACGTTCCCCGCGTTTTTGGCCTTCATCTAACTTCAATTTTGCCTTTTCAAGTACAATTTATTTCCTGTTTTGCTTCTAAAATGGCATCTAGCTGTTCAAAGAAATTGCCTGTTTCCCCTTTCCACTCATTTTAATGTTACTTTTTTTTATCTGTAGCTGCGCTAAAGTGTCAGCATAAAGACTTTCACTGATCTTGTATTCTTTTGTATCCTAAAACCTATTCCGTCCATTTTATAAGCAGTCATTCAGTAAAACACGTATATTACTTGTTTTGAGGTTTTCTGCCCGTTCCTCAACACCATAGTCTTCCCATGTACTGAGAAGAACACGATTTCCCTCATCCGTCCAAGCAGTACATCTTCTCGCCCTTTCTTGTTTAATTGTCACTCAAATGTTGACAAGGCAGGAATTCCTGCTTTTTTTATTTTGGGACATGATGCCATTTCTAAGGTAATTATTTAATGTTTTATGGACAAATTCAAAATTTGCACACTCAAATTCACATGGCTTAAAATACATCAGGAGTAAATTAAATAACAGCCTCAGGCAAACAGTTTGGTTCTTGGGTCCGACAACATGCATGTTGCCCTCGAACCTAGTCAAATGTATATTAAATGGAAGAAAATAAGACATGTATATTTTATGCGTTTTTGATTACATTTACCTACAGCTGATTTTTTAAACAAGATATTGTTATAATTAGACATCATTGACATGGTGACCATCTCAAAGGGCTATACTTATAGTAAACTATATGAAATCCCGCACAAGCGCTGAGCACTGAATTTTACCTCTGTGATCTGATATTTTCTACTGAGAGTCTTATATCAGGAAGAAAACCTCTAGTTCAAATCCGACAATTACTGCAGATGCAGAAGTAGATATATATCGCTCACCCATCTGTTTTTGTTTTGTTTCATTTCTTTGGTTTTCGTAAGAACTTGAAATACCAATTTCATTAATTGAGATTTTCTCTTTACTTTTTTTAATCAGAAAATTTATTTCAGATACCTGTTGTATATGAAATATGGAGATAACGAACAGTATTCAAGCTCAAAGTCCATTAAAACAATACAAATCGGGAGCAGAGCAAACACGGACCTCATCGTCAGAGGTGGGATCAGGTACCATGGAGGAGTGAGCATCCCCTGCCAACATATTGTTTATACATACATACATACATACATACATACATACGAGTATCTATACATATCGATCTTTGGGTGGTCTGTTCTCTTTTCTGTGAAGGGTAAAAGAAGCACAATTTATAAGCATTCCTTTAATTAAAAAAAATGCTTTTCACTCCGTATGTATAAGCCTAATACTAAATACAAACGGTAAATATTGTATTCTGGGGGTGGGGGTGGGGAGGGAGCAATGAAAAGTATTCATTAAAGGACAAATTTTAAAAGCTTACCACAACCTACTGATTTGTCTTTCGATACATAAATATATTCACTAACTATAGTGTTATAAATTGCATAACTATTATTTTCATGTCCATTCACTTCGAAGTATTTTTAAAAAAAAAATTATTCATGTAGTATGTAACAATTAATCGTCTCATTTTTCTTTTAAACATCGGGTTCGATGCCATATGATGTTCTAGTCTATTTGACGAAAATAACTTGCACATTTTGTTTCTTTTTTCTTTTTTTCAATCAGTAATCACAACTTATTTCTTCTATATCACATAAATCAGGTTTTGATCGAAAAGTTCACAAATGACGTTTTATCAACGAAAAAGGATCATAACAAACAGTGATCGATTACAAAATAATCTACAAGGCCACCTTTAAAATAATGTTTGCTTGCCCACTCCCGACCCAGGATGAAAAAGTTGGGTCGGTAGCTAGGTGGAAATTTTTTTTCGTAGAAAATTTCAACATCAATGCTGAATTTTCAAAATATATTTTCCATAATGCAGTGGTTAGAGCGTCTACTCTAGAGTCGCGGAGTAAGGAGTTGATCCTTACGTCGCGGGTTCGAATCCCACTGTGGGACGTGGAGACCGGTCCTTCGGATGAGACCGTATAAACCGAGGTCCCGTGTCGCTGTAGGAGCTGGCACGAAAAAGATCCCTCACTGCTCAATGGCCGTAAGTACCGAGCATAGGTCAAAAATTTGTAGCCCTCCACCGGCAATTGGTGGCGTCTCCATATGAGTGAAAAATTCTCGAGAGGGACGTTAAACAACAAAGAATCAATCAATCATAAAACCATAATGCATAAAAAAAATTGCTTACTGGAGGTTAGAAAAAAGTTTTGAGTCGGGCCATTTTTAGCCAGTGGGTCGGGAGAGGGCAACCAAACAATTTTTTAAAGATGGCCCAAACAATACAAATTTGTGAACAAGACATAAAACATGGACCCCCAGAAATTCCAGAATTAGGATCTTTAATCTAGGAGGAGTAAGCGTCCCCTGTTGACCGTGAGCCCTATGAATGGATCAGGTAGAAGAAACATTCCATGATCAAATTTAGTGTAAAAAAAGACCTAATAACACTTGGTATGAAACACGTCAGATAAAACATGACCCATTATAGGTTACTAGATGAAATCCCGCGCAAGCGCGGGGAATTGAATTTATACTACTATCGACAGAAAATATATTGTAGTTTCTACTGACAGCCTACAGGCTTATAGCAGTAGCAGTTTGTTCAAAATCCTGCATGAAGTACATGTACCTTTCCAACCCCCAACCCCCTCCCGAATTTGTGAAAATTTGAAAAAAATAACAATTTCATTAATTGGCGTTTATTGTGAAACCTGTTACACTATGTTATGGATATTGAACTTCAGATGCTCTTATTTCATTTCCCTCAAGGATAAAAGCAGCGAATATGCACATTTTACTGATAAATTGATTTGGGAGGGGGGGGGGGGGTGTAAAAATTCACTGGTACTTTGGTCTTGCTTTATAAATATGTATGTACCTTATCGATATGTAAAAAATGTGCTTTACTCTTTTTTTACATACATGTAACAAAAAGGTACATACGTATTTATAAACCAAGACTTAAGTACCTGTGTAAAAATTAGCTTTTAACGCCCTATGAATAGGCCGAGTATTTGATACAAAGGACTGTATTCAGAAAAATAACTGAAATGTAATTAAAGCACAAAATTTTACAGCTTTGATTATATTTGAACAATACCTTACTCATTAATTTTCTCTTTTCATGTAAGCAAGTTTATTACGAAGTATAAATTGTACTTCGGGTTCGTTGCCACGATGCTTTCAGTGAGGATTTTACCGATAAATTTATTAATCTACTACATATATGTAATAGTCTTTCAATATATAAATTTATTCAAAACTTAGAGTGTTATCAATGATTTACCATTATTTCAATGACCATTCACACAAAAGCTTTTTTTATGTTAATGTAGCATAATAGCCTCGTTCTTTTTAAACATCGTACTCAATGCTGTATGACGTTCTAGAAGCTTCTGTCAATATTAAGATCGGTGAATGACGAAAATAATTTGCACATTTCCCTTTTTAATCGGTATCACAACTTATTTCTTTTATATCACTTAAATCAAGTTTTGATTGAATAATTCAGTGATGACGTTTTATGAAATAAATAAACGATTGCTTGGGTCAGTGTCTTTAAAAATTGCCAGTAACTTAGATCCGCCAACCGGAAACGCCACAATACTCATGTTTTTGCTATTTCATGGCTGTTTATAGAAAATGAGGGTAGACTTTTAATTTAATGTACGATACTAACTATGCGAGTGAAATCTAAATATAGTTTACGGACATCATCTTGTATCTAGTGTATTGTTAGAGGAGTAAGTAAGAACTCTGGTGCACCCGTTTCGGAGTTTATTTGCAAAATTTATTAATTTATAAGTATAGATATTTGTGAGTAAGGTCATTAAAACAACAAGAGAATTAACGAAGTTCTGACTTTAAACTAGATTTTGAAATCCTGTAACATCAACTTATCTGTCATTAGCCTGCCTCGGTTTAAAAAGTAATCGTACTCATGCAGAACATACTCTTGAGTATCGAATAAGACCAGCCCTTATTGTATATATTTATGTAATATAATTTCCAAGTAAGAATCAGATGTGGCGGACTCTGTGGTGTCTTTATTTCAAGTTCACTGGGATATATCGAGTCGACATATGGATGGAAGTGATAAAACGTCGTCGATATATCTGAATGTCGAATTGAAGGCCACAACAAGTGTTTTCTTCTTTTCATGTAGAATTTTTAAAAAAATAAATTCTGCTTCATAGGAATATAAAAACAGGTGGGCTACTAAAGAAGTACAATTATTTCCCATCAGAATTCCAACAGTTTGTTGGAATACCTGGTCTTCGAAGACTACATAAATGTTGTCAATGAGGAACTCAAGCATCTTTTTAATATCAACTTCAGAGTACTTTTGTGTAGAATCAGAGTGATATTTCACAAAGTAAATTTGTTGGTGACCAATCACATAAGAATATTTCCGAGTTCCATTTTTATTGAAGAAGGATTTGTCTAATACATTAAAAACCTAGATTTTAATTTATGATCAGTAATGGTTGTATAAAGTGTAGAAAAATCGAACGTCTTGATGTTACTGATTTAAAAAAATAATTAAGTGCTTGTCAGTTTTATTGAATTTGCAAGTAATATAGATCCGCCAACCAAAACCACCACATTACTCTCTCTCTCTCTCTCTCTTTATTTAACGGCCGTTTACGAAAACGAACGTGGACTTTTAATTAAATTTACGATAATTACTATTCCAGTGAAATCTAAATTAAGTTTAAGGACATCATCTCATACCTTATGTAATATCATAGTAGTAAGTAAGAACTATGGAGCAGGCGTTTCGGCGTTTATTTGCAAAATTTATTATTAATGTATGAGTACAAATGTATAGGACATATAGATGAAGGGTATATGTAAAGGAATGAAAATAGAAAAATCCACACTTTTTTATTACTTAGAAAAGATTTTGCCTTGATGTAAGAAAAGAATAAGTTACCAAGTTAAGAACATTTTCTCCCAATTGATTTTAATGTCATTGACCTTTTACCATACTTGTTTAGCTGAAAAAATCACCCCACCAAATATCTTATTTAAAAATTTTTGAGCTTTATTGTACTAGTAAATGACTACCAGATATTTAAAACCTTACATTTGTAAGAGTCATTATATTCAAATCACATCTTCTAATGATCAGTGCTATTTTTATGGTAAAATATATTTAACGAAAAATGTGTAGAGGAAGAATTAATTGTTTAATAAGCCGGGCAATGATATCTACGATCTCATCTCTCACAAATCTTTGTAGCAATTTCATTTTTTTCCTTGTGCTAATATCAACACATTGAAAGTTAAAACAATTTTATACAAATACGACCTCACTGGTATGATTCAAACAAGATAAAGAAAGGCAGGGTCCATCTGATGCTCTTTATAACTCTCCTTTCCGAAACATGTCTCCATTGAATGCTAGAAACAGCCAATCAATTTCCACAGCTAGCACTGTTCACTGCCACAAAAAAATGGTATGCCATCAAAATAAAAAGTCCAAGAAGCAGTGCCGTGCAGAAAAACAAGATACAACTTAGAATCTGTAATAAACGAAAAGTAACGTTTTAAGACTTCAAAAGGGGGAGGGGGGTAAAGGTTGCATTGATATATATTTGCCAAATAAGCTAATTTGGAGCGATAAATCTTTATCCATATTGTAGCAGTATATATGAGTGTACACAACAATGGAATAAAACAATCAAAATGAAAATAATGTTAACGACTTGCTTACTGCAAATAAAAGTTATTGAGAAAAAATGGAAAACCTGTCTACCATCCTTACCAGAATCATTCATCTGTTTATACCAGTCATACTCATGATACTCTAACAAGTATGCTGATTTTGAAGCCAATGTTATTTCAATGTGTTGGTTACAAACCTTTGGTTAACAAAAAGACAGACAGACGTGAAGCAATATACTACTCAGAGAGAGAGAGAGAGAGAGAGGCATGATAATGTGAATAAAAAATACATTACGGATTTTTAAAATTAATTTTCCAAGGCTAAAGGCGCTGAGATAATTAGGAATTAAAGCTATATAATGATATGTTAGCAAATGTAAAGTACTCTCAGACTGGAAACAGTACCCAGTCTTGTTGCTTTTTCCTCTCATAACATACGTGATACCCGGTATTTGTGAAAGCGACCTGCAAAATAAACACGTTTGTTAACCTTTCAAGCATTTTTATTTCTTAACGATTGTTTACTATCATGTTGACCATCCTGCAATTTGAAACTAGTCTCATCTCATAGAGCGTAACTTAAATTTTAAAACACTATATGAGTACAAGGAAAATTTAGTTTGACACTTGTGTCGATTAGGATCTATCATCGTTTTCTGTTTCTGCCACACCAAATATGAAAAGATAAAAATAACCCCTGGAGAATGGAGAATAAAAATAAATCCTAGATATTATTTCCTGCAAATCATAAATAGATACATAAACAGCATTTAAAGCTTTACAAACCATTGAATATAATGGGGTCCATGTATTCGGTAGAATTCCATGCATAAAATTGTCGAGTTTTTTTCTTATAAGGAAGCTTCTTTTGTTCACCAGACTTCTCATCTGAAATATAAAATACGTATATGGGAGAAACAAAGGCTTCTGCAGAGCGTTCTTATTTAACACACGATATGATTGATGATTTTAAAAAAAATGTATATTATATAGTTTTGCTGGAATAAATATTTGTTAATAGAAATGTTTATATACCTCTTAAGGTCAGACGATACATTCCTCAAATATCTGTTTAGCATATCTTCGTATTGTATGGAAACTATTCCAAATTTTAATTACCTTCTGATTTCTAAACTTGTTTCAAATTGTCTTTAAAAAATTGAAACACTAAAAAAATGTGATATTGGCAAATCAAGTTTTTTTCCAAAAGAATTTTATAGGAAACAACATCCTCTGGTATCTTGCACAAATGCCTGGTAAGGTACCTCAATTTTTTGCAAGTAAACATGTTGAAGTAGCAATACTTCAATGACAAATTCTTAGAAAAAATTATATATTATTGAGGAACGTATCGTCTGTCCTTAAACAGTGGCACTTTTATAATATATATATATATATATATATATATATATATATATATATATATATATATATATATATATATATATATATATATATATATTATATATATATTTATTTATTTATTTATTTATTCTGAAAGAATATAAAAACTGTGAATCTGACCTCTAAGAAGTTATACATAGTCAGGTCACACACAGCGTGGGCGTCCTTATGTCTTCTTTTGGTGTACTCTGGTAGAGCAGTCGCTGTTTAATATACCACATCAGTAAATGAGGAGGATATTCAGACATATTAAATCAAAACTACAATGCAGATGTGACCATCTCAAAGGGTCCCATATTTAGTAAAGACATTAGGATGAAACAGACTTGCAATGCCATTTTGTATTCACAAACGTTCTTGTTCAATTATTTTGTAGAAAATATTGTTATCGGCCCTCCTTTTTCGGTAAATAATTATAGGGAAAAAAAGGAAGTAAATGAAATACTGAATTCATACAACATTTTATTGAGTTAATAACCACCAAAATTATGTAATTGAAAAACAAAATGATTAAAATTTCTAAAAAACCTTTCGAGATGTTATGATATGACAACGATTCTCTTGGCAGAAAAAAAAGCCTTCGTTTCTTCAACTTTAATAACTGCCGTCTGATGAAAAAGCATTAAACATATAAATTCAACAAAGGAACAGTGTTAGATTGTTGATACCATCTTTTGCCGGTGTCGCATCGTAAACCTTCCGCATAGCAAACCTTCCCCGGAATGTTTACTACATATATATAGTAAAGATCCCCCTCGAAATAATTACTAAAGAGCAATGTTTATTTCCGGAATAAACAATAAATTAAATAATAATAATAACAAATTTTCCCTTGGGGAAAGTACACTATATAGCAAACATTCCCCCATGCATAGGAAATCATCTCCCTGGATATTTTGCGACATGTATATAGTAAACGTTCCTTCGCAATTCCGGGTAATTACCCATAATTCGGAACTCAATAAATTTTACATCTTCAATTGACGACAATCAAAATTAACATCTTGAATGAACAAAATTTTGAGTCAAAAAAAAAAAAAAGAAAAGAAAAGAAAAAAAGTAAAAATAATGTACCTTTGTTCGCCGTATTTAAGAATGAAATTATGGCCAAAATGGTATCAATTTGGGGACCATGGCCATCAGTCTCCCTAAGCTGATGCAGTTGTGAAAGGATTGGGTATACTGAAGTTTGTTTCTTATGTACTAAAATGCATGGATTTTTAACAATTTTCCGGAAAAACGCATTAACTGGGTACTCGTTCACATCCCTATAATATATTGATAAGGATCGTCCGGGGGGAGGGGGATATTTTACAAGGGGGAAGGTTTACTATATGACACTATATGACACAGGTAACCCAAAAGAAATACTAAGTAAATTACCAAAGTCATCACTGTGTTGATCTAAAATATCGTTGAGAATCATGCAGTCCTCAAAACCCTGCAATAATAATGATTTTATTAGCTCACCTGAGCAAAAGGTTCAAGTGACCTATTCTGATCAAAGAATTCCGTTGTCCGTCTGTCTGTCGTGTTTTTGTCGGTTAAAATTTTTACATTTTCGACTTTATGTTCAAGTATTTTTCATTCTTCTCAACTACAACAGTGAAAAATAATGATAACATGAACCCAATGTCTGTGCATAATCAAGGTTGTTTCAATCATGGACCCAGGGGTAGAATGGAACTACAATAACGGATCAAAAGTTTTATCTAGGAAAATAAAAGGAAATAAATTGAATTCTTCTGAAGAATAGCAGGGTCATGATTTATAATATTGATATTCCAACAATCTGTTGGAAAGCCCCAGGGGTAATTTGTGCCTTGTTACAAGCACACCTACTTTTGTATTCATATGAAACAAAATTTATTCAAAAACTTATACAAGGAAAGAAGAAGTTACCTCTTACTGTGACCTAGATATTTCGATGACGTTTCATCAATTAACAAAATTCAGTTTCCCTTCTCACGTTGATTGGTTATATCAAATTGAACTTGAAATTAAAGACATCACAGAGTCTGACACATCTGTTTCATATTTGGATGTTTTACTAGGGAAAAAAACATTGAAAGCAAACTGACGAGTAAAGTTGATGACAAACGTGATGGCTTGATTCGAACAATTTCTGAAACAGCCAGGCTAATGACAAATCTTGTTTAAAGTCAACAATTTGCAAATTCTATGGTTACAATGACCTTTTTGCAAATACAGTCGGTCAGTCGAATGTTTACTGACGCCTTTCGCACAAGAGGTAAGGCCATTATTTTCACACTGAAATGTGTACGGAACCTTCCGTATACCCAATCATAATAAAAGCCCACGGTGGGTGTGACCCGTTGACAACGGATGCTTACATCTTCATGGCACCTGATCTTACGTCTGTTTTCAAATGCCTGTGTTGGCTCTGCTAATTCCCATATACCCAATCATGATAAAAAGCACACGGTGGGTGTGACCGGTCAACAGGGGCTGCCTACTTCTCCATGGCACCTGATCTCACATCTTTTTTCAAATGCCTGTGTTGGCTCTGCTAATTTCGTATTGTTGAAACGGACTCTTGAGAATGATCACTATTCCTTATCTTCTCATTTCATGCAAGTATTCATGGATAGTACCGATGATATTTAAATAATAGCCCCCGGGGGTATGATTGTGTCCCAATAAGGGATCTTAGTTTTTTTCATGGGAATATATATATATATATAATCCGGACTTCTTGGTTAGGGAACCCAGTTAAGCATTTATATATCGGTCTAGGACCCCGATGGATTAAGCAGACTTTTTCCGGTCTCCCTAATATTTTAACTGATCATTAAGGCAGTGTTCTTTGTGGTAAGATGACTGATGTCCTGAAATAAGACTCTTTCGTAATTATATTTTTCAATGCAATTATAATTTCTGCATTTTTTATTCGCATAGCGAGAAATAATTAAATTATTTATAACCCGGCATATATTTTCATAGGAATATATATATCTATTAAGTCGCCCAGAGAAAAAGTGCAATATTAAACAAAATCAGCTATATATGAATAGTTTTAATTAATATCCCATTTAGTTTACTCATTTCCTATATTTTCTTACCTTTCATTCATTCGTGAGTTCAGTATTTAAAATTTCGAAAATTCATGGTCTACAAATGACTCATGTTTGTCTGGCAATAAGTTGCCTGGTTTCCGGTCGACCTGGAGAACCAGAAAAGAAGACGATGGCAGACGCCTCGAAGTGCTTTGGATCCTTTTTCGTAAGTATAAATCTGTTACTTACTATCATTTGCAGCTGTTTTTTTTATGTTTTATACGTCTTTTGTATATTATTTTCCCCTTTTTTATACGACGCGCTTGCATAGCGTCAATATTGACTAACTGCGAACGTCGAGGAAATTCTGAATACATGTACACATTTTTAATTTCTTTTCATTCATAATGATACATCTTTTTTAAAATCATCAAATATTTATTTTAATTAATTATTAAGTTTGTGGATGCTCATGGTTTGACATTTGAAACATGGATATGATTGACGCATTATTTAAAGAAGCTGATAGTAAGCGCGGGGGGGGGGGGGGGGGTTGTTTCTTGTGTACGAGAATCTGGGACTTGTGTTTTGAGATACAATAACAAACGATTCTACAAAAATTAATGCAACACAAGCCACCTCCTTCCTTTTATGACACTCTTCAATTTTTGAACAATGAGTAAAATTTGGTTTAAGATTTGAACAAGACTTACAATGTCATATATTGTCAAAGACTACTTCTACAATTACATGTTCAAGAATTTAAGGTATTGCAGAGGTTTTTACTCTATTCTGCAGTTTTCAATGATGTAAACAGTTTCTGTCTATAATTTTAGATATTATAAGTTAAGATATGTTATTTTGTAGTAACAATAATTTGACTATTAATACATGTAATTTTCTGAGGTACTACATTTGATAATTTTTAGGTATAAATGATTTTTTAATATTATGTCATAATCTGTTTTATCAGCAAATATCATAATTATATAAATAACAACTCAAATATGAATCTGAGTCTTCAAGGTCTTTAAGTGTATAATTCCTTTTCACTGCCTAAAAAGCATTAAAATAAAATTTGTTATGTTCCCCAGAAACATAATTTTAGGAGGTAAATCTATTATTCGTATTTTGAAACCAAAATCCTGGAGAATATGAAATTTCTATTACCGTAAAAAACTGTTCTTAAAACAGTTTCTATATACCCCTTCCCCCTCATGTGTGCCAAAATTAAGTAAAGGTGAAATAATCATTATTTTTTTTTTTTGCTAGAAATTGCTTTTATTATACATAAAATATACATAACACAACTCACAAAAATGATTTAAAAAGGACCCAAATCCTGGGAGCTTAAAGGGGCTTTTGTCCTTTACCCACTGGGCCACAAGGTTGCCCTCACTGGCTCAGACCCCATTATTAGCCTGTTGAACCCCCTTTAAAAAAAATCCTGGGTCTACCAAAGATAATTTTGAAGTCTTTATATGAAATGATAAAATGTATTTATTAGCAAAAGAAAAAGGATATAAAATGGGGGTAGTGTACCACAACTGCCCAATTTAAAAAAAAAAATCAATAAAATTCTAAATAGAAGATTTAAATGTCAAAAAAGCTTCAGGATAAGTATACATACATATTTTTGTTGTATGATGCATGTACTTACATGTATGATAACTGTGCTAATTGGTGTATTAATAAAATTGGGTTTACTTGTACTTACTTCTTACTTAATTTGCCTCTTTGGGGGAAACTGTACCAATTAGTATGTTATGAAGTACTTTTATTAGTATTTTTACTTACTAATTACTTATCACAGGCACTTGTTTCAGTAATAAATTTTTTAACCCATAGTATAGTAATAACGCAATATTATTATACTATGGGTTAATTTTTTTTATCGAATCAAATGCCTGTGTTACTTATACCTTTTGGGGGGGGGGGGGGGGCATATGCCACCCACACGATTTTTCCAGGACTCAATCCTGTGCAATCCTTAAATTAAAATCATTAATAAATGAATATACATTTTGGTGGGTTCTGGTGCATCCTTGAAGTCATTTTTCACATATAAAATAAAGAAAATCTGGCAGTGTTACTTTAAACAAATGAATAATGATTTACTCTGTTTCAAAAATATTTTTGAGTGTTTCTTCAAGGGGGGGGGGGGGGGGCTTGCGTCCAACATTCCCCACCATTACCACTTCTCTGTTCCTATGGCCCTCTATTCTACTGTACTGCTACCCTAAGAGGGGATAATAGTCTGCTCTTAGGATAGTCAGGTTCAACTGAATTCCAGCAACACAAAGTTAAACAATTTGAAAGATAAATATTTGATGTGAAATTTTATTTACAAGGAATAAATGAGAAACATGTACTTCCAGTTGTACTTAAAATAATGGGGAAAATGTGATTTATATGATTAATGAAAATTTGAAGGAGTTTAAAATTTTATTAAAAATTACTTAGAAGATATGGATTTTAGAGAAATCCGTTGAATTTAGATCGGGTTCGAAATTCTTTATGTCCTCAATATGGCGCCTAAATGCAAAGATTTGGGTAAGTTACTAGGAATTCATTGCTCTCATAATTTGTACCGAAGTCAATATGGAGTGGTCAGAAACGGGAAGATTGGCTAAGTTGCCAAGAACAGTGGACGTAAGAACTCACACAAGACAATCGAAACAAACAAGTATGGTTAAAATAATGTCCGTCGAACTCAGTAACATCAGGGGTAGACAAATAGAATTTGTCAGTACTTGCCCTCGGACAGGTTACCATCGTAAAATTACTTGTCCTACCAAAAATATGCTTGTCCCACCTTTTCCTTAAATAACACAAAAATAAAATATTATCATTAACATTTAGGACCAACCTTGACCCAAAATCACAAATCTCCCATGGAGAAATTAAGGGGAAATTTCTAATTCTAGGGAGACTTCCTCGCGTCTGCGCTGTGCAATGATTATTAAACTTAAAATTTTAAATACATGTACATGTCAATGTATATACATAAACATGTACTTATACATTTCTCTGAATTTTTTAAATGAAAATAATACACCGGTACCTACATTATTGTGTTATGAAAAACACTCCTGAATGTCAATTAAGGGTTCAACTTCATGACTGTGTGTGTTCGCCAGTCAACACCTCCAATTTAATAACAGCCACATTTGTTTGTATCGTGTATTCACGGCATGAATTCTACATTTTGACAAAAGAAAGGTCCAAAACCCTCTTCAACTTTTTTGACATGACATTGATACCTGCCGTGTTCTACTTCTCATGCATATTTTATCAAAACATGAATGGGCAATTCTAGAGGAGTTCCTACTGAGTGTTCGATGTAGCGGTCAACTGCATCGAAAACAGATGTTCTGCTATGATTCATTATATTTTAACAGCGGTAAAAAAAAAACAACACTTG